AACTGGGTCTTACTTAGTCTGGCCGAGTATTGAGGCGAGGTTTGCAAAGGGAGCCAAAGTATCGCACGCGTCATGTCAGATTTCCGAACCCATGGTCACTTTGGGCCCTTTGACAGTCGGATTTCTGTAGCTATCCATCAAACAGGGGTCTGTCAACGGTTTATAGCAGGGCTTTATGGGTTCAGACATGTTTAGCCTTTGAACAAATGTGCGTTTCTCAGTGGTGTTCCTTTGGGTTTCTTTTCAAGGCTTACAACAAAAAGCTCCTCATTTTGAGACAATGCTGGACCCAATTGGGTTTCCTTTGCTGAGCGGCTATGAGAGATGGTCTATCATTGATTGTGCGCTTGTTGGTTTCTAGCTTCCGAAGATGTTGTCATGCTTAATGTTTGGCAAGTATCCATGCCCTTTCAGCAGGTTTTACTTCCTTGGTTGAAGCGGCATTGTAGGGGCCAAGCCATAGGGGAGGTTCAGCGTTCAGGGCCAAATGAGGGGCATGGGCATGAACCGATCAAAGCACACGGCTCACGGCGACTGGCCAGCTAGATCTGGTCGTTGGTAGCCCATGACCAATCAAATCTGACGGAGATTGTCACTAGCTCCAGACCTCATTTTGGTTGATGGCCTTTTTGGCTCCAATCGAACCCTCTTGCCCTAGCATCAACAAATCCCAGAGTTTTTACAGAAAGTGCGCTCCATTTTTGAAGGGACACCTTCACTATTGGAGGAGCCTCGCCCTATGAATCTGCCAGGTTGTTAGAGGCACCACAGCAACAACCGATTTGCAAACATGGATCCAATCCTGGTCCCTCCAATGCCCTTCTGGCCATATTTGCTGCGGGATGGCCAGGGGACGATCACTTTCTCCAATTGTCCCCGTTGCGAATACCACTATGTGCATCATGTTGTTGAGGCCCCGAATCACCCAGCCTCTAAAACGCGTAAAGGGGTGCAGATGTCGTGGAGCCAAGCAACCCACCAATCTGGGAGCCAACCTCTTTGATGAGTCAGGAGCCTGAAATCGGTAGATCACAGGTGGAGTGTAGATTCTGTACTGTACACGTTAAGTTGCGGCAGTATCCCACCATTTCGTTGTTCGCTCCGGTGGGATGTCGCCGCGCGGGTTTTCAGATCCTTTCCGCGTTCACGTGCCAAATCAAAGGGCACCGCTTCACAGGCTGGGATGTCCATGTTTGAAAGGCGTTTCCCCACGAATCAAATGGCACCGCCCTCGACCATTCCAAAGACTCTGGGCCCCCTAGAGGAACTAGGTCCTGGGATTCATCAGGTGACACCTACCTACCTACGAGATACTCACCCACACAAGGGTGCCTGTTTTTTAGGGGACCCGCAAAAATGATGGTTTTTGTGTGGGTTGTCTTTTACTCAGTGGTTCAAAGCCGAGCTTTTGACCTTCTGGTGTTCCCTGTTTGGTCCATGTTTAGTAGACTAGGTACCCTAGTAGTGCCCTTTTGCCCTTTTTTTGGGGAGGGTTCCCATACTAAAACAGGCTACAGAAGAAAGTTGGTGCTTTTATTCTAACCTCTCTGGAGGACCCCTAGTAGAGGTCCAAAAAGATTAACCTTTTATTTCCAGGTGCTTTGGGCAAGTGAGCTAAGCCACCCAGCGGGTACTCCTGGCCTCCTGGCCTCCTGGCCTCCGGCCGAATCCAGGTGAGCGCAGAGGCGCGGCGCCTGCTGGGCGCGGGGCACTTCGACCTGGGGGTGTGCCACAGCCTAGCCGCCGGGGTGGTGTCCGGAGTTCGGGGTGTCGCCCTTGGGATGAGTTTGGAGGTATCCTAGGAACCTTGGAAATATGAGGGAATTCCAGCAGGTGGGGAACCATGAGGGAAGCAACCAGGAGGGGGTTTCTCTTTGGTCTTGTTTGGACGTATTCCTTGAAGGACCGTGGACATAGGAAGGGTCCCTGCTGATTTACGGCTGGCTTAGATGATCCCCTCAAAGGTGTTGTTTGGATGTATCCTAGGAACCTTGGAAAATATGGGAATGAGGGAAGCAACCAAACAGGTTTCTCTTCGGTGTCGTGTGGATGTATCCCTCTTTAAGGAACCCTGGAAACTTGGGGAATGAGAGAAGGCCAGGAGGTGGGGGACCATGGAAGCAACCATGAGGGGCTCGTTGTTTCGTCTCATCAGGTTGGCTCAGTACGTTTTCAGAATGGACTGCGGGGTGCAGTCTGTTCGACTGTTTGTTTGGGATATGGGTGTTGATCAATATTGAAGTGCCAATGTCTATTTTTCCATTTAGTGGGGGAAGTCATCTTTTTTGGTGGTTTGCCTGATGGTCATCTCATGTAAAGGACCTTTTGATCAATTCCCAAATCCTTCCCAAATGTATTTTAGTTGAAAAGGCACGGTTTTCAAGAAAAGTCACGGTTTTCAACCGAATCCTTCCAAGTTGTTTGCTTGAAAAGGCACGGTTTTCAACCGAATCCTTCCAAGTTGTTTGCTTGAAAAGGCACGGTTTTCAACCAACTCCTTCCAAGTTGTTCGCTTGAAGAGGCGCAAGTTCTTGGGAAGGTTATCACGCGGTTTGGGAAACCCCTGACTCCATGGGAAGGGTTGCCGAGGTGCCATGCCTGGGACATCAGCTGGCGCATCACCCAGGCCTTGGCGAAAGCCGGGGCCCCGGGCCACGTGGAGCAAAAGCACCCAGGGTCTCTGCAACTGGCTGGGTCGATGCAAAAGCCCACGACCATGGTAGAAATGATGAGGTATTCTACCATGGTTTTCGGGGTAGAAAGCGGGATGAGTAAAGCCGGGTAGAAATGCTTGCCAGGGATTCCTTTTCAGTTTCGGAGCTTTGGCTGTGAGCCCTCACTGCGGGTGTGTAGTCCAATATTGGCGCTGAGTCATTCGCGGTTGGTCTGGTGTCAGAATCTCAGGCTTTTGATCGAGGGTGTGGTTGTCTGCCTCAGGTCACAGGCCAAGAAGACGAACCACGTTAAGCCAAGAAGAACCACGTTCGCGCCAAGGACGGGTGGGGTGGACATCCAATAGGAACAGCCTGGTGGAGTGTGGGAAGTCCAAAGGTGAGTCGGCTTGCGGGTCCGGGTTTTGCAGCAAGGGAACGTGTTTGTCCTTTTCGGTGCAAGGGGGAGTACCTTGGTTACACTTGCCTGTAGCAGCTAGAGAGGTTGAGGGCCTGGGCTCTCGAGGGTTTGTCTCCAAGAGGGATATGCACACGCAAAAGCAGCAAGTTGAGTGGTTCTGCCAAGGTTTCCCTTGCAAAACCTCAAAACAAAGGATACCCGACAATACAGCTACCCTGCCTCAAACTTACTCGTACCATGATTGAGATGCCAGTCTTGTTGCTTTTTTCGTGCATACCAACCCTGATTGGTGGTGACACACACACACGCAGCAAAGTTGCCCTCTTGGGCCTTTTTAGAAAGCACACGCCTTTCCCCCTAGAATCCTGCAAGTTGTATTTGTGTCCTTTCGTGCAATTGAATTTCCACACTCAAAAGCCTTTAAAGTATTTGAGATGTTGAAGAGGCAGATAATTGACCTGCCACACTAAACAGAGTTTGAAGCTCGATCCGAAATCCAGACGGCTGTGCAGAAACTAGAAGGAGGCATAATCGTTTGTTCTCCTGAAGTATTGTCCTGACTGTTTGCATGACAGCCCTGGGACGTGCATTGCCCAAAGAACGTCTGAAACATTGAGACCTGGATAGCTTCAAAGGGAACTTGGCATTTTGGTTCACAATGTTGGGAACATACTGTAAACGACTTAGGTGTGTCTCAAAATAGATGCCCCCCTCGCCATTGCCCAGGGATGGAAGCCTGCTACTGAGAGCTGCAACGTATCTTCCACTCGCCAGGAGAGACCGCTTGAACGGCAAGAAGGAGCTCCTGGCGAACGGCCTGAACGGGCACGGTGGACAACATGGACATTGTCAAAATGGACAAAACGGGCACAGCCACATGCGAAGACCAAAAAGTCCCACAGCGCGAGCTCAGGACAAGTGCACATGAATACCCGGCCAGAAATGGATCGGGCCCACCCAAACCGACCTGGTACATGTGCTAGCTTTTGCTGTCCATGCTGAGCATGATATGATAATATATATATATATATCATACTCCGATGGAAGTGTAGTGTGTGGTCGGCATCGCATTTATGTAAGCAACCTTTCGCTAGTTGCTTCCAAAACCACCAACTCGAAGTGCTGGTTGCGAAGCCGATTGAGGCTGGGCGGATTCATTCGAGTACTTGATGCCTTTCAGCTGGACTTGGCTTGCAGCTACCTTTCCTAACCTCTTGCAGGGGCGTTGAGGTTGTTTGCTCATTTTAGGGTGTGAATCAGTCCATGGGACAGAGAGAGAGAGAGAGAGAGAGAGAGCGAGAGCGAGAGAGCATGTCCCATTTGTGTCTGTGTTTGTGTGTGTTTGTGTGGTTGTGTGTTCATGGCACTTTTGCCTGGAGCCTCCGAGAGTAGGTACATTGCGCCATGGGTCATGGACACTCCAGGTGGACGGTTGCAACATGTTGATCGTTTTGGTTCAATGAACCCATTTTCAACGTGTGAGCTGAACCGCCTGTCGTTTTGTCCAACTGGGGGAAGGGTACAGTAGGGAATAGTTGCTAGCATGTGGGCCATTTACGGCGTAATCATGGCTAAATCATTCTACTGACCTGACGAATCATGAGTTTCTTCATTAATATCATGGTCAATGTAAGCAATTGTCGCGTGAGGCAAGGCATGTGTTCTTGGGCTCGCAGGGCGCAGCATCCATTTCTGCTGACACTATGCACTTTGGCACATGGGACACAAGGCACTTCCATTAATTCTGTGCCTTACTCCCTTTGTGCGGCTTGTTGTTCAATGCCAGCGAGATCTCCCTCCCAACACATGCCAGCAGTGTTTGAAGCGCCGTGTTGTTTGATTGTTTGTGCATATGTGCAAGGTAGCATGTTTTCTGTTTTACCGTTTGAATCACGGCAGTGCGCGCCTGGTTGCTTCTGTGCTTTGCCATGGCGCAGGGGCCGCGGCGAGGTGACCAGCCATAGTAGCCTTAGGTCAAGTCGACCAAAGCTTGGCAGAATCCCTGGAGAAACTGGTGAATGATCTGAAGTCAGATCCCACCAACTATTTGTTTAGGTTTTTTCTTGGAATGTGATGGGCCGTGGTGGGCCCTTTAGCGTGACCAGGACCCTTCTAACGTGACCAGGGACCAGAAATGTAACAACATGTTGATATTTGCTTTGGAAGCACACAGCTGATCCAAAATTATTGAGCAGGCATGTGACTGGTTTTCTGGCTCACTTTCAATGCGGTTGCAAAACTGGGAGAGTTACTCACAAAAGGTGTTCCATGAAGATACATACCCAATTGAGCCACAATCAAAACCCAGGTAAGTCTGGTTGGTAAGGAATGGTCCTACCCATAGATGAAGCAGCCGCCCCGTTCTTTCTTTACCTTGGTTTGGGTACACCATTTAGTGCCAGGCTTTCATTATGACTCAATTGGAAGCGCTGTCAACTTGGAAAGTCCACAAGTTCGCGCAGGTACTGCATCATGCGGCACTCCTTATATGGCGTCTCAGCCGCACTGACGGGGGGGACAGGTGTGTGCAGCGCCCATGGAGGTTCCTCTACGATGTCCCCCCTTAGTATGTGGTCGGGTTCCCTAGCGGGGTTACATGTAAGGTCAAGTTTCACTCAGGCAAATTATTTTATTTGGGGATACTATCTAATTGGTCGGATGGTCATCCAAGTAGGGACCCTTAGTTTGGGTTGGGGAACTACTAGAATACTTTGTTTAGAAGACTGGCAGTGCACTGTCACTTCCGGAATCCTACATATTGGATCTGCCCTCCACGTGCCTGGAATTCGGGTGCCCTTTAGATGAGCAAGGCAGCAATGCTTTGTTTTCGATAGAATATGTTTATCAGGTGCGAAGGGTGGCCGTGGAGCCCTGGAAAATTGAAAGAACAAAGGCCCTTACGGGAAGCATCACCATGAGTAACATGCCTCGCGCATTCAGACAAATGTTGTTTGTCATTCTACCACCAAGAATCATGGAAGTGCACAGGCCCCTGTGGAAGACCAACTAACATGCTTGAACTGTGCACTTCCATGGCGGTGGCAGGATAAATCTTGCCTACGTGCTAGTGGTGTTGAGCTGAAGCACTTTTTGCGGACGTTTGAACCCGGAGGTTCTTTCTCAGCTTAGGTGCCGATGATGGGCAGTGTGCCATCCTACAGCCTGCCTCTTGACTGGCACTAGAAGCAAATGGCATGGGCGTGCCTTTCTGTCAGACACCCCCCTTTTGGTTGGTTCAAAGGCAGACCAAAAGGAACCCAAGCGTTTGTGGGGTCCGCTATCTGGAGACTAAACTTAATTGTGGAACGCGTATGGGGGCCGTCCGAAATTGCATGCCAAAACTTATGAACAGCGGCAACTTGTTGAACCGCGCGATTGGCAAAAAAATAAGCCGCGAAAGGCCGGCGATTGGACCGCGAAATGGCAACGAAATTATTGTGAATTTAGACGCTGCATGGTGTTTAGATTGTGCTGCCGACGCTCGTCTCGCTCATTTTGACTGCACGGGCTTGCGCAAAAGTTCCTCCTGGAAAGCTGTATGTTGATTTCGCCTGCGCAGGCCCAGGCTGTGCTGTCTGAATCTGCCTACTGGCAAAGGCTGGAAGCTGCCAATCAAAGTTTCGCCGCCGAATTCCGCGATTGGACCGCGGTTGGACGGCGATTGGACGGCGATTGGACGGCGATTGGACGGCGATTGGACGAATTTCACCAGTGAGGCCCGGCCCATCCGAGCTACGTCACTCCCTTCCTGTTTCCAGGTATGGATGGAGGAAGGTGAGCGCTTGAGATAAGACAATATAAGACAGCAGCAATGACCAACGTTGCTCCGCGACTAGAATCTGTGGGACCGCGGTTGGATCGCGATTGGCCGGCGATTTGGGGGTCCCCAAGCAAAGTAGTTTTGCACAACCCCACATTGTGAAATCATAATGTAAAAATCATAGGTAAAGAAGCCTGGTCATCAGTGGTAGTTGCAACTGGAGCCACTGGGGCTGTTTGGACACACAGCCACTCAGCCACTAACACGAAACTCTCCCCTAGGGAATGATGTTCCAAGACCCAGTTGGGTGCCGCCCACCCATGTTTGGATTACATATCCATATCCTGCTTGGAGGCTACTGTGTGCCAACACAGCCGAAAGTTATCGATGTTGCAAAACGGAGTTGGGATGTCTTGCTTGCATCATGTTGTTTGACCCACAATTTAGCACCCAGTTTGGGAGCAGGATTAGACATTTTGCTAAGACAAAATGGCCCCATAATTCTAGATTCTGCAAAGAAAACCAAAAGGGGCTGGAGATCAGCTAACTTTCCCAGCGCAACACCTGGTTTCATTGTGTGGGAAAGACAATCTCATCTCGGTGTGTCAGATAAGGGTGTGTCAAGAATTTTCAGGGGTTTTGGCTAACATGATTCGCACCTCGGGTCAACCGATTTTGTAGATTTCTCGAAAGAAAGCCTGCGTGGGGTGGGCGTGTTGTTCTTGTTCTTTTTTTGGGGCCCGTATAAGAGTGAGTCTTCTTTTGTGGTTGTGGCTGAAACATGTACCAAAATGGCACCTTGGTAATTGGAACCAAAGACCAAAGCCTGCCGTTTGCTCTAGCTCTGGAACATTTGAGCCACGCCCAAATCTTGCTGGTTCCCAGCAATGAATGAGGCAATGACCCCGAGAAACACCATCCCGTGCGATTTCCTGGGTCCCTAAAGCCCGGAAGGCCATTCCAAACTTACCGCCCCAGTAAGATATGTGGGGCTTGGACCCTGCCACCGAACACGAACAGTCACGATAATTTGGAATACCATGTTAGTGGCAGTTGGTCTAAATTTCCATCATCCACTGTGGGTGGAATCCACAGTCTGTGGGTCCCCCAGCTTTTTTGGGGGAGGGTTCCCCTACTAAAATAGACTACTGCAAAAAGGGTACCCTTATTCTAACCTCTCTTCTGGAGGACCTAGGTATGTGGGGCATCCGTAGATTTCACCCGTCGCTTCGCTTCAGCTCGCAAGGCACGGCAGCGTGGCGGTGGTCACCGGCGGCAGCCGTGGCCTGGGCAAGGGCATTGCGCTGGAGCTGGCGGCGGCAGGCGTTTATACGGGGTGTTGCTCAAAAATGGAGTCGGTGCTGCTTTGCCGGTTCCGGACCGTTCCAAACCGTTCGCAAGGCGTTCAGCTCCAGAAGTGCTCAATATTGCGTTCAAAACGCGTTCAAAAAGCGTTCGCTAGAGCGTTCAAAATCGTACAGCCGTGCTGTTGTGACAATTTGGGTTGTTGTTGCTAGAAAACCCGAACGCGTGCAACAAAAATCCGATCCAGGCAGATTTTTGTCTCACTATTTGGGGGGGTACCTTTTTCAGGTTGGTCAGAAGGGAACCAAAAGGAAACCACCCATTTTGGGGGGTACCCTGTTTTGAGGACAGTTTTGCCTTTTCAGAGATTGAAGATTGCCGCGGTTCGCACCTGCTACCACTCAATTTGTACAATTGTAAACCAAATGGAAATGCGGCGCCTCCCGGGCACCGCAGGTTGCATTGTGTACATCACCGGAAGATCAACTGCCACCCAGCAGACGGAGGCTGGAGTTTCCTATCTCATTCTAAAGCCCTGAATGCAATATTAAGGTCTTTCCAGAGGGCTTTGGTCCATTTCGAGTCGAAGCCCCGAAAAGGTTCGCCTTTTTCCCGCCTCATAGTGTATGGTTGATTCACCACGAATCAGCTTGTCGTTGGAGGCTGTCGTTAGGTGAAAACAGTTACCATGGAAGGGACACAGCATGAATTTTGCTTCTCTCCTTGCCGCTGGCCTTTGGGGTGTCTTCTTGAAGGTGCCCTTCGGGGTTGGTTCAAAGAGAAGCCGAACGCTCACGCCCATTTTGGCCTCTCAACCCACTCTGAGGCATACCGGACATTTTCCCTTACCAAAATCTCGGGACCCTCCAGGTGCTTTTGGCTGGCTCTGTGGATGAGACCGCGGCCCTTGCAAACCGCCGCGGAGCAGGCGCGGTCGCGGAGCAGCTCACAGGTTCCTTTTTGTTTGGAGGCTTTCCCATTGAAGGCAAACCCCCAAAGACCTCTTTGCCCGACTATCGCCCCCGGTGTTTAGGTCATAGATGATCATAGTTCGGTTTACGGAAGGAGCAACAGAGCAGTTTCACGACGATTCAATCCAATGTTTGGGTGGGACATGTAGTGCCACTTGTTGGGTCCCTCAGGAATGTGCACATGTGAGAAAACCAAGGGCTACTGTGGTTACATTCACGGACAGCAAGCTGATCACATCCAGTACTTGGCATATCCCACCTCCAAACATGTCCAGTAAAGCCATCAACCAAATGTGGACAAGCAATGGCTGCAATTCAGAGCCTCAGAGGGTTGTTTCTTCTTGCGTGGGCAAGCAACTCTCAAGACCAAGCATCCAATGAATACACACACAGGAATGTTCCTAAACACGCGTTTGCAGGCATTGCAATAGTTTTGTGAGCAACAGGGTGCCATTCAGTGTGATTGCAGGGCCTGGTGTGTTGTGGCAGTCAAATGTTGACCCCATTTGACCCCTGATTAATAGACCTCCTTCGTACAAGTCGTTCTTTTCTTCCACTTTTTAGCACCTGTTTGGACCTTGTCGACCTTGACGGCGGTGCAAGCGGGGTTGACTTGTAACATGGCCGGAGGATTGCTTTCTGTTGATAGTGTGATCGCGCGTGTTGCGCAATAGGCTTTGCTTTGTCCCCTCTTGCGTGGCTCAGGGCAGAGCTTGCATAGCATGAGTGCACAGTTAGCAGAGTCCTTGAGACAGACAGCTGCGGATGCTGGCAATGAAACGTCCAGATTGCACCGCGATCTCAAGTGTATCAGGCGGGCACGTCAGAGGGAGGCCCGAAAGATGGATCAGCAAGTGCTGACTTTAGATGTGAGTTACCACAGTTTCGCCAGAAACCACAGATAGGACTTAAATTCCAATGGCGTAGTAGCCGAGTATAGTTTGTCCAATCATCTGAGTTGAAACTCAAGCGCCCTCGTTCCCCCCCCTTCCCGATCAAGCGTAGGGGCTTCACGACATGTTGACAAGGTGTCATGGTCTTCCCCAAGAAGTGCGTTTACATTTGGCCGCCCGCAGGGCTTCAGAGCACGGCTGGAAAGACTTGCAATGTGAAGTGTTTTTTGAATGGGAAGCACATTCGAAAATGACTAGTGGACATAAATTCACAGGTGCTCTCCACGCAAGGTGCCCAAGCAAACCATTGGCTCAAGGTCTTGCTCAAGAGGCAACAAGTCGCAAGCCATGCCGCACTCTGGCGTGATTGAAGATCTCGGATATTGGCGTGGCCGGTGCAAAATTTTATGTGAAGCCGGCCATACAATTAAAGACCTTCTTAAATGGATGACGGTCGGATTGCCAGCTGATGCACGGGATAGCTGGCAGAAAGTTGGCCGACGACTGCTTCTTTTGTGGTTTCATCTTGTTATGGCGACGTCGTTCCTCCTCGCACTAGTCTTCATGAGCTCTCACCTTCCAGATGTGCAGTTCCCGGGCAAAGATGACCACCATGGTGGCCTGGATGATCAGACAATTGTCCCGCTATTGGTTTTCCAATCAATCGCCGTTGGATTCTTGATATTGGATTTAGTGCACAACTGGGAGGTCTGGATTGGATTGACTTGGAAACCAGAGTCCGTGCTCTTGGCTTCTCTGTTCATCATGGATATGCAGTTAATGATTATGGTGATGGAGTCGCAGGATGATGAACATGTTCCAGCTTTGAACTCGAAGACTTGCCTAGCCTTTTTCGTGGCACACTTCGTCAGCTTTATGGCCATTCCATGTTTTGTTGTGGATTCAGCTCTGCAATCATCCAAGGTGGGTCTTGCATTCTGGGTGTTTGAAACAGCGGACGTTACAACCTTGGTGTATGGATACATTGGATGCCGGGATGGCAAAGACATCCTTCAACTACCGAACGGAGCACTGGTACACACAGTTCTGAAGGACTGGGGATTCCCTGAGGATCAGGAGCATGACATGGTGTCAGACTTGTTTTTCACATTGCTTTTGCTCACGATCTGCTGTTCAACCTATGCGACAGCTCAGGCAGTGATGGGCCTTTTGTATCGGAAGGGTGCCTGCCCCGTGGAAGTGGCGCAAACATGGTCCCAACAAATGCTCATTTTTAACATTTGCACGGACCTTCCATTGATTCTGCTGTCTGTCTGGACAAGGATATACACTACCGACTATTGGATGATGGGGAATGTGATCTTCAACATGTCTGCAATTTTGCGAGCATTGTGGATGCGGCACAAGGCAGGACAGTTGCAGGCAGGGCCTCCAAGCTCCAACACATCAGATGTTTCAGATGGCACATATGTGCCGCCTCGGGTGCCAGAGATCTCTGGCCGTGGTGACTCTGAAGCTGTTACGGCAGCTTAGGTCAATGGCTGCAGTCTCAGCTTGAAAGCAGAAGCCTGGTGCAGCATTGCTTGAAGATACAGTGAAGAGTGAAAGAGGTTTTACGTGTTTCGACTTAGTATGCAGACTTGGAGAAACAGGAGGTATACGAATTAGCAATGCTTGCGCTTGCGCTGAGATAACTTTTCATGAACAACAAACCCATGTTTCATGTGCGAATTCAGTTTTAGAGTATTTGACACAAAAGCTGTCACAGCAGAGTTGCCTTTAGCCTTTTGCAAGGCGTGGCAGCCTATGTGGACCACACCTTAGATGAAGAGGTACGGAGGCCGGAGAGGTCGCCGAATGCTTTTTCGTCGTTTTTTTCTTTGAGTCTGGAACTGCGATCTAAGACTGAGACACGCAGGGATCCTGAACGGCGGCACTACCCTGTGTGGTAGCAATCGGGTCCTTAGCAGATGCTGCGCAAGCTGCTGTCACCACCAAAGCTATTGGTTCTCAAGGCCTGGGGTGCAAGGGACTTTTGGGGAAGCATTGCAGTTTCAAGATTTCCCAAGCTATGCTTGCTGCAAGAGCCTAGCAAATTCTGACAAGCCCTGCCTCGACACATCACGGCCATCGCAGAGATCAGCCCAAATTGGGTTTGTCTCTAAATAGGGACCCCCAAGAAGGCTGATTTTCCCTTCGCGTCCACTTCCAACCGGTCCCTTAGAACAGACGCACCCAAATTGGCTATCCGGAAGCCCCGGCTTGCACCGCCTGTTCCAAACACGGATGGTCGCAGGATGTTTGCACCATAGCTTCATATGCAATGCATGGACACAGTACATGTTCTGAGTGTTGAACTTCCATTTGCAGAAGTGCTGGCTGGTCTCGGCATCTCGACTCATCCAATGCAGGGCCTGACCAAGGGGAAATTGTGCTTGGATCGTCCATTGCCGCTTTTCGCAACGAACAGTGAATGTGAAGCTGACATCCCGCCGATGTAAGCAGGAATCAGTTTCATGCTTCACTGAGCTTTCTTGCTGGCAGTGACCAACAAAGGGGGGCTCGCTCAAAGAAGAGATGGCACTGGTGTGGGGTCGGGTCGGCTGGTTTGGAGAACACACAAAGCAACGCATGGCTCTGGCAAGTGACGTCCGACCCATCCACACCTTGCGCTCGTAGACTTCTCGGATGGTGTTGCCTTTCCCAGACATTTGTGTGTGTAGCTATTTCCTCACAAAGCAAAGGAATTTCAAACTTCCGTTGCTGTTTGCGAAGCGAAGCTTTCGCCTAGGGTGAAAGCCTTAGTTTCTTTGATCATGGACTTGTGAGTCTTGGTTCCACCTGGAAGGCGACGATGCAGAATCACTGACAGTTTGTTTTTTTGTTTCTGGGTAGTTGGAGGTTGGGCGGTATTCAGTCAGACACAAGCAGAAGCGTCATACTTGTGTTCGTTCGTTTGTTGGATTTGTTTCGGATTCTTCGCCTGTGGGTTCTTCAGGGTCCAGGTTTCAACCAGCTTGTGGTTATCGGTCGTGCTTGTTTTCCCGGTGTTGCATCGTTTTTGTTTTTTTTCTTCTTCCGTCAACCGGCCAGGTTTGTGGACATTTTGACGGAGACCCATGGGCGTTTGGACTTGCTGGCGGGATGGCCCGGTAAAAACAAACGAGAGAAACTGAGAACAGACATCAGGTGCAGTGGCTCTAACGTTGTTTTCACTGTTCAGTTTCATCATTAGTTTGTGCTAATTCATGCTTGAGTATAGTTTAATCCAGGTGTAAATGGTGAGAAGCTCAGCAGGACAGCCAAATGCAACCTTGAATGACAAGGTAGGGGATCACTTAGGAGCCAATGGATCCTGTGACCTCAGGGAACCTTTCATGTTTCAAGCACTCCATTGCAAGACTTAACCTCTGTTTTCTACTTTTGCTTACCTTTTGGGGTGTTCTGCATGTTTGCTTTCAAGAATAACTTTTGCCGGGGCTCTGCGCTTGGTCAAGACTCCATGTAGGGATCACTACTCGCATGTGTCAGCTTGTGCAGGGTTGATGTAGGTAAAGATTCCGTACGTGACATGTTTGGGAATGGTTGAATGGTTGATAACCGCATAGTCGCTGCGCTTCCTTGCAACCTTGATCATGGTTCTCCATCATGCATCATGAAGCGCGCGCACGCGTATATACACACGCTCAAACTCGCACAACGTGTTTGACAAGTCTTTGGTGTGTGTGTGTGTGTGCGTGTTTGCAAGTCATCCAAATTGGGCTAGCACGGCTCCCATCCCAGTTCGAAAGCGGTTAGAAGAGCAACTGAACTGGCAGGCGGTAGGGACTGTGGACTTTGATGTCCAGTCGTCTGAGCGCAGGGTTGGCGTGGCAGTTGTACAGAGTTTGTTGTTATAACGGGGTGTCCTCCAAGACTGTTTATATCTCATAGCATACTATAAGTATTGCTATGAATCACAACCAGACACGTACGTTTCTGTGCACGCCAGATGTGGGCCAAGCTATGTTGAGTGAGTTACGACAGTCTTGCAAAGTAGGTGTGGAATTATACTGAACACACCGGAGTTTGGCCTATACCAGCTGTACGTTGTAGGTGCTGTTTTCTTGCCGGCTGACAAATTCAATCGCATCCAGAGGAACGGAGCATATAGTGCACGTGACTAAGCAGTCAGACAAAAAATAGGTGGGAACCTTCTTCTGCGATCATTTCAGCTGGATCTTAGGTCTTTCCCCATGTCTCACTTCCCGAGTTCCTGGACTTTAACTTTTCGGGCAGTGCATTTTGGTGCCAAACAAAAAAACCACGTACTTGTTCTGGCCAATCCACTCGAGTGAGACGTCCGGTGTTTGCGGCTGTTTGTTTCATGGGGCCGAGGTCAACAATGCCTTCTTTATGCCCAAGCCTGACACACTCTTCTTCGGGGCCCCGGTGTGGCAGCAGCCCTGCAGGCCGGACGGCTGGCCGGAGGTGGGGCAGCGGCAGATGTGAAAATCGATTGCTTCGCAGGATCTCTTGTCGATTGCTGAGTTTGGATCATTTACACAAACATTGCCAGTGAAACGAAATGAACAGATTCTTTGAACTGGGTGACGGTTGAGCTCGGCCAGCCTGATTTTCTGGGGCTGGGATGTCCCATGTCCAAGACTTTGCTAAATATGTTTATATGTTTTACCCACTCTGCCTCCTGCCCACGCGTCTAATATGGACCAGCATCTACAAGTCGTATTGTTCCTTGGGCAGAAGCTGATGTAATGAAAAGTTGGTGGCACCCTGAAGGGACATGTCTGGCACTAGCTGCCAAGCACAAGGACCATTGGCGGGGGATAGATTGCTTCTTCTAATATAGTTTCATGATTTTGTTGGTTTTGTTTTGTCAAGTTCAGTGGATATTCCTCTGATCTCAGCGAATATTTCTCATTTACCAGGCTGTGATATTGATTTCCCTGCCTGAGGCTCTTCGACGAGCAGTTCTGCATCGGCGCCAGGAACCACGTGGTACTGACGCTGCCGCTTTGCTGAACGTAGGATTTTGGTCCCCTGCGAATCAAAAGGAACCCCAAAAACACATCAGTTATACAGGAGTCTCTTTTTGGGCTACCCCGGTTTTGGGTTCCATGTCAAGTTACAGGGGAGTACACATCTCCACGAGATTAGGCTGGCACCAGTTCCTGCCAGATATGCCCAGCCAGGGGATCCTCATGGAATTTGCTTGGAATCTGGAATCCTGGCTCGGCGCATGAACAACGGAAACTATGATTGGCAGTTGTTGTGTATTTGGGCACGGGGGGGCACTTCCAGAGCGCAAAACCCCTGTGGCCGGCTCATTTGTTCATTTGTTGGTTCCATTGTATTTGTTTACAATCCTTATATGGCTGTGAGTCAAAATAGGTACCCAAACCGGAGCCCTGGAAAATGGAACCAAGGACTAAAACCTGCGCTCCAGTGGTTTAATATTGATCCACAACCATATATGAATTGTAAGTTGGATAGAAGATCCTCTGAAAGCCGTTTCCAGTGGCCTTGGGCTTGCTATGATGGATGCACTAAATATGGCAAGTAGGGGAAGAAGGGATCGCTGTAGTATAGCAAGTAGCGAAATACACCTGTAATTTTCCGCAATGCCACCGGGGCCACCTTTTTCTTCGACCACTTTTTGTTCTTTCTCGGGGCACGTGAACTTGGAAACACTGGCATGCTTGCAACATGTCGGGAATCCACCAGGGCTACGACGCAGGCTCTGCAGACATTTGCTGACCTCCGGTACCGTGATCAACGTGCCTTGGAAGGCACAAGCGGGACATGGCAAATTGGAACGCCCCAATTTCGTAGGTGGTTCCTATCCCCAGCTAGTGTTCTCTTGCAGTGATTCTATATTGGAACATGGGGGGGAAGCTACCGAATTCCCGATGTCAGTTATCATGAGCGTTCATCTATCATTCATGGTTGAAGGTATATAAGACAAAGTGTGTCGGCAAGTCTGGGCCGATTTCGTTTCAGGGTAGTTTTTGAGTCTGGAGATTGGGCAGCACTTTCAGCAATCTGTTTGCATACCTGGTTGAGTTCCAAAAGGCATAGCTACAAAAAGCTGGGTTTAACTGGCTGACAGGAGGCAGATGCATCAATTTTGACGGAGACACTTCAGAGCTCAGCAGTTGCTTGTGCATTCGCTTTTGCTCTGCAGGAGTTCCTGCACCACCATCCTTTCACTTCTTTGTTGAGAACAAGCAGAAGAGTGCTGTGCCCGCAGCCAACCGACAAAAAGCGGTAGTTTTGGTCCATCCACGTCACATGAAGCCGGGTCACAGCTCAGCCGCGTGGCAAATGTTTGTGTCTTTGCGTGAGCAACAGACAATATAGACTGGGAATCTAGAATTCTTTGCAGGACATGGGTCCTAGCCAATCATCCCTCCGCGACCGATCTGCAAGTGGACGCAATGCAACAGCTCGGCACCCTCCTTTTTGCCGAAAACTTTGGCGGCATCAGATTCTCTGCATGTCATGAGTCTCTAAATTGGGACCCCGGTGTGGCGAGAGGGGGTCCACTATCTGTTATTCACGAAGCTTCAGTTTTGACGCTTCCATGTTGCTGAAAAAGAACGAGCGATGCCACCGAGGTGAGTTCCGGCGGATCGCAAGGAAACACCGACGCATCTTGCCTCAAGTGTAGCCGTGGTGGCCACATGACAGTCTTAAGATGGCACTGATACTGGATGGACGAAATCCTGCGACACCTTGAAATCAATTGTTTGTTGGTATTTAAAGGGGAATCATCATTCCAGCGTTTCTTAGGTGGTGCAAATGTTGTCCATCCACAGTAGTTCTTGTAACTGGTATTGTTTCAAGTTTCAACATTGGAGCGTGCGTTGAAGTGCGCGAGGGTGTGCACAGTAGTTTCCCTCAAACCAGGGGGACGTACCAATTGTCCTATGCCTGTCGCAAAACCCAATACTTTGTTGTGGCTTAGTTGGAGACAATACACGCAACCTTTATGACAATTCCTTGTGCGACTCAACAACATGATTGATAAAGAGTCCAACTCACAAGCGGACTAATTCAGCTGAACCCCTTTGGATGACGTGAAGACAGCATGATTCTGGGCTCCTGCGATCTGGGCTCACAGACAGGTGCCACGCCAGGCTGAGAATGCGTCTCTGGAGACAGCATTGTTGGTGTGACAAGGTTTATGACTAGAAACCTCTACATGGGCCACAAGGATCCGTATGTGGGTACATTCGGAGCGTCCGCAAAAATGGAATGGTGAAAGTTGAGCCGGAGTTTCCGAGGACCCTACGAAAATGGGTCAAAAGGAACACCCTTGTGTTTTTGTTGGCCCCCCCCCCCACTCTCCCCAATTTTTGCGGGGTTTTTTAAGGGTTCCCTGCCGGATGGACTGGAAGACCTACCGAGGTCTTCCCTGTCTCCTACCATCTCAACAAGGCCAGGTGGGAAAGGCGAGGCGATCCGAGCCTTTTCGCAAGCTCCAGTCAGACGGTCTGTTGCCCCCTTCTTTCAACCGGCTTCCGATCTGGGCCATGTCTGCCCTAAGCTGAAACCTGGTTTCAGCCACTCGCGCTTCCAGGCGAATCATAAGAAAAACACAGCGACACATCAGGGGCGGATACGGCTATGGGACAAAATCACGTACCCCCAGTGAACATCCCAATCCCTACTAAAATAAACTAAAATGGGTGGTGCACCTACCCCAAAACGGTACCATTGGTTTTGACCCACAGCCATATGTCTCTCGGTCAATCGCGCCACTTGAGCGCTCGGCAGGCCTGCTATGACCGTATGGTGGTGGCATTGAGCTGCCAGCTGGTTGACATCCCGGTGCTTACTCTCTGGCCAGGCTGCGATGGATTTGCGACAAACTTGTGCCCATCGAGTCGAATAAAGGCAACCCTGTTGAAAAGGTCAGCCCAGGGTTTCCCAACATTATTATGGCAAATGGTTGTTCAGGCTGCCACATTCTGTGATACTGGCATATCTTCGGAGTGGCAACCGTGGGAATTGACCACTTGGCATGTGTGTCGTCCATGTTTCCCAACACAGATCCTTGGATTTTCCCGCGAAGCCAACCTGACACCTGATCAAAACGGGGGGGAGTTTGGTGGATTTGTTCTGTTTTCTTTGGGTCTGCTCGACTGCAACCTCAGTCTTGTGGATCCCCAGCAAAAAGGCCCTTGGATGCTTGACTGGGAAAACGGAGTTTCATCGACCTGTAGATTTCCCGTATCACTGGATTGTTGATCAGCCGGGTAAAAATGAAGCATGTTTGGCTTGAGAGTCCGAGGGATTGTTTGGCATGGGGATGCATTGCGCGCGGAGCCACTCTTCCACACACTGAGAGAACTGCTAGGGGCTCCCTGTAGACGTATTTAAATCCCTCTCCAACAATTGGCTGCTTGGTTGTTGTTTTCGTTTATTGTGTCCCGTGACAGCAACACCAAAGTGTTTCACTGGGCAGCTAGAAGATGAGATTGCTCGCAAGGAATTTATTACTTGCGTCCTACACTTACCATTTTTCGGCACAAGGCTCCTGCCGGAAGCCAAGTCAAGCAAAAACATATCAGCAAACGGTCATAAGGGGCACACTCGCCACAATACCCGCCAAGACTCCCCATGTGACCAAAAACCTGCTAAGTGTCTTGCGATCAGCTGTGAAAATGGAGAACCCCTGCATCTTGATGCTTGTCGAGCGTGCTTTGTTCAAGATGAGTATGAGTACGTTGAACATGTGTCCTTTTCCTTGTCTTTCTTGCGACAGCAGACTTGAGTTTCAGCAGCTCAGTTGTGTATGTGTGCAGAGCTGTGGCGATAAACATCGGAGTTGAAATTCCTCGATTTTGGGCTTAGGCGCAAAGCCGGGACTGACATCAACAAATCTCATGTGGCCACTGTTGCTCACCCTAGTCCTTTCCAAAAATTGAAGCAAGCACACACATACTGCACACAGAGATTGCCTCTACCTCCACTATGGTTAAACAACAAGCAAGCAACCTCTTGAGTCTTCCCTCGAGCGTGCAGCCGCAGGCTCTGTGTCCACCGAGCGCATGGTGGTTGGAAAGCGCCGCTTTCAAGGCGAGTGCCCGCTCGGCGCGGGGTGTTCAACCTGAGTCTGCCAGGTTTTTAATATATTGAAGACCTACATTGGTATCATGTGTATGCTTGTAAGTATGCGCTATATATATATATGCCGTATATGTACACGCATATGTGCACACACACACACACACACGTGTTGGTATGCGACTAGGGTGTTCAAAGACGAAGCTGCCAGATCTTTTGGCCAAGTGACATTGTGGAGGATCCAGGTTCCTACGCGATGTATTCTCCAACCAAGATTCACACACAACTTGCAGTTGACATTTGTGGCCCATGTAGGGCTTGGTCAGCCTGGTTGACTTAGAACTGGTGTGATTAATTCATTACGTCCATTGTTCCAATTGCCAGTCATTTGAACAACGCCCATGTGCCTGTTGAAGCAGGACAGCACTCATCTGTTGTGACTCATCCCCGGTATACCGCAGCACCATTCGCTAAATTTACAAGAAGTAATTCGTTCAACTGGCGTGTTTGGATTGACACTTCATGTTTGCAAACCATCAACAACAAGGAGCCATCCACATCCCACCACAAACATCCACATCCACAACAAGGAACCATCGAATTTCCTCCACATCCCGGCACGAGCCCCGTCCCCTGGGAGTGAAAACCACCCATGAACCAAGGAAAGCCAACATGAAAAGCAAGGAAACAATGGGGGGGTGACATAACCACCACTGAATGTAGCTGGGGTTTCAGTTTTAATATCTCAATGGGGGTTGAACCCTAGGCTATTGTGAGTGACAATCAGTTGGCATGCCTCAACCCTGGGCTACAGTTAGCACCACATGTGCCAGGAAATGAGAGTGATCCGGGCATCCATGTCGCTGACTTGCTGATCAGAAGCTCCCACCTGATTCCTCTAAATAAAGCTTCGAGGCTGAGGCAAATCGATATCAATTCGATCGGACGAGGCTGGCTCCAGGACGCGGAGTCCGTGGCCTTTACCGGGCGCGCGGTGCTCGCCTTGGCGCGGCTACCGCCGGAGGCCCGGCTGCGGCTCTCCGCGAGGCCCGCAGGGGGCGGAGGGTGACGTTTTGGGGGAACAACGCATTGTTTATGGGAATTGTGAAGGTTTGTGAAGGCTTTTTAAGTTTTTTTTTTTTTTTTTTTTTTTTTTTTTTTTTTTTTTTTTTGGGGGGGGAGGAACCATCTTGATAGGTGTTTGAAAGGGGTTTCGTGATTGAACATTGCGGGGCCTCCATTGGTTCGTTCCTCAAAGCCTTGATGCATCCCGACTGAACGAGCAAGGCGGCATGAGCAAACAGCTAGCTGCATCAAGAGGAAAGCAAAGGTTCTCCTGAGCAGAAGGGTTCGACCACCGGGTTAGTTGAACGGGCTCCCTCCTGTCGTACCTCAACCTTTGCCCTCCAACCAGAAATCTGGTTTGAGTATGGTCCATATATAGTGAGACTCGAAATGTATCACAATTTCAATAGGGATCTCAGGCACTGTTGCAAACGCTTCTTACCGCCAAGGCAAAGGCCAAGCTTGCAGTTCTGCTCCCGGGCGCAGTGCGGCTGCCATCCCGCTAAGACCGCAATTCTTGGTCGGACTCTCCCACTTTAGGACTGAGAATATGGTGGTTCCCCTCATAGTTTCTACAAGGCCCGAGCCCATTGCGTCAACCCAATGTATCCGGAAAAAGGCCATGGTGCCAAAGAACATTCCCGTTCCAGCAGAGGATCTGCTTTGAGGCTAGCAACGGCCCAGACTCGATGTGCCGCGTGTCCTATTGTTGAGGATGCTGATACCCTTTCTTGGGGTTGCTGAAAAGGGACACCAGACGAAAACCACCCATATAGAGAGGCCCTTTTGTCAGCAGGGCTTGGGCTGCGCAAAAGGCTGTCCTTCATCCTTCACTTGGGTTGAGGGTCCTTTCTCGGTGATCCCCAAGACCCTCTCACCAATGGGGTACGTATATATGTGTCACAAATTAGCTTCCCTCCAAACGGGGTGAACAGGGTAGCCCAAAACACGTGGCCCAGGCGTGGTGTTTTTTGTTGGTTTCCCGGACTCGGATTCCTACAACCTCCAAACGGGGATGGGAGCTCGGATTGGTCCCCGCAACGCCAGGACCCTGACCTCAGCTGAGGCGTGGCGCACTTCGGGAGGGCGCCAACTTAAGCTGTGAACTAGGGTTCAGCTACCACCAGTGAAACAATGGCTGGGTTCATAGAACCCCCATGATTTACCTGTCATCCAAATTGGGGCAAATTGGCCTTTTAATGGGGGCAAGGAACCGTCGGCCACAGAGAGTGCACAATTCATGGTAGAACGGAGGAGAAATGCAGCTGAATGTGCATCGCCATTGTGTAAACGGCGTCGGGCCACCCCCTTGAATATTGATTTCACTAAACTTCCACCGGGCAATGAATAATGACCGGGACTATTTCACTGTGGGGCATGGTGTGTTTTGTTTATTTGTTTGCTTGCTTGCTTGCTTGTTTGTTTTGCTTTTTTTTGAGCTTGTGTGTGTGTGTACTTTCTTCTTCTGCCAGTGTGTGGTTGCTAGCAAGAAGCGATTTGGACTCCAACTGGGTCCTTGCGAGTCAGTCGACAAAGGGGACTCAGAAGGCTATAGATCAACACGCTCGCTCGCATTTGCCAGGGCAGTGCAGCAAGAACAACGGGATATAAGTTGGCTAGGTTGGACAAAGGATTTGTGTTTTGCTGCTACCCCGTTTCAGCGAGGAGGTACTTGAATAAACAATCACAATATTTGGACGATATCATGTACCCTCTATCAACCATGTACCCATATTGGTAAGCACAATGAAAGCCTTTTCCAATTTCACACCTGATTTTGTCTTCATGCGCTACATGGAGAAGATGGTGTGCATCCAGAAAGCGTCCGTGTTTTATACATGTGCACAATATGTCTTGTTTGGAAAGCGGAGCATCAACATGAGTTCCAAATCTAAATTCTAGCACATTTTGTGCAGGTGCTTCTAACGCGAGCCTTGCCAGTCTACAGCTGTGTTGCCAGAAAGGAAGCGATCCTCCGAAACCCTGCAAGCCACCATTGTGTATGTCTCCCGCCTCATTGTGCGAGCTGCAGGTGATGTACATGGCGGGCGGCTATGACGTGGACGGGTACCGTGGGCTACCCAGCTAGAGCGCGTGGAGTGCTATCAGACTGTCCTCTTTGGGCCGGGGGTTGCGATCCTGTTCAAGCATGGAATGTGTGTTCACGTGCTGTTTCTGGGGTTTCCCACAATCATCAACCCCAAAAGGGTTGCAGGTCACTAGGCAACTGGGTTTTGCAAGTTGTTCCTCTAGCAAGGCGGGTTTACCCGTTTCACGCTGTGGTTTGGGCTTGTATGCTACCGGGACCATGAACAAAGAACTGTAACGCCTCTCAGCCGAGGCAGGTGAGGTGCTGCGCTGGAGTTGATAAGATCGGGCCAGATGCTTGAGGGCTCCACTTTCCAATTGGTTCCACCAACCCCCAAAACCATGGATGATCTCCCCAAGGAAGAATGGGGCTCCGGTATGTACCCTGTCATCATGGTTTTGGGCCCACTTGTCTTTGGGTAGTGGTTTGGGGTAGTGGCAACAGATCTTAAAATCTCAATTCCGAAAAGGAAGTGACATTTTGCAAGCCTCGGCCACTACCCCCATTCATTTGAATTTGCAAGTTCCAAGCGAAATGCAGTGTTACATTTAGCAACTGGCAGAATTGTCAGAGCCAGTGGTTTGCTGTTGATTTGCGGATGGGCGGCGGGGGGAGTATCCAACTTACAACAGAAAATAAGTGGACTACCTAGCTCTCCAATGCCCATCAGAGGAACGCAGTCATGTTGTCCTGGTTGCTTGCCCATGCGCTAGATCAAGACGGTGTTGCGTCTTTCGTTTCTTTTGTGGCTTCTCCGTGAGCGACCCCTCTCAAAGACTGCCCCTTTGTGTATTCACGGAGCCCAGTTGATGTTTTCCGGTTCCCGATCCTAACTTCAGCCTGGAGCTGCAAAAGAGGGGCGTTTTTGTTGGGTTCCCTGGTTGCCCTGAAAGGCAAGGGATCGATGCGCAGGCCACGACCTGCCGCGGGAGACCATGTACTCCACGGCACTGAGCTTCCAGGCAAGTGCGGCGTTTATTTCGAAGCTGGACCCAAGAAGTGGTCGGTTGGTTTCCTGCCCCAACAGGTCTGTTGATCTTAGGCGGTTGCGATCCAGAAGCGGGAGTAACTTTGGTAGTTTGCCCCCATGTCGCGCTCGAAATGTGGACGACCCCCTGAGTTCGGGAGTAGCTAAGCTCTCTCCAGCGCAGTTGGCAAGATGAGAGCCGTACATAATTTTTGACTTCCCCGAAAAGAAACCACCAGGCACACAAGGTTGGATTTGTCCAACCCTCCTAGTCAGAGGAACTCATGCATGTCAAAGCTCATCAATGGGACTATTCATCAACACCAATGGCTGCTTGCAGGTTTTTCCCCGAGACGCAAAACCCCTCTTGAGCCACAATCAAAACCCGGGTAGATGCAGGTTAGTAAGGAGCGATCCCAACCATAAATAGCTGCGGGTAGACCATTTTAGTACCAAGTTTTGATTTTGACTCACTTAATGATTTGTAGGGGGACAGTCCCGACCAAAACTAGGTGCGGTGCAGCTTTCCGGCCTTTTGGGTTCGCATGGCATTGGGAAGAATCTTCTCCTTTGATCCTTTTTCTCCATGAGTTTTCTGTGTTTGCGATGTTTAAGAAGAAGGGAGCCGTGGACAGAATGGGGAGGGCACAGCCTTCAAACACTCTGACCCTCTCTACATGAAAGGTCATGACAGCGAATTCAATCCTGTTTGTAAGCGGAGATTGAGTCAGGTGTATCTGTTCAATGGCGAAGAAGAACCAACAACTGGTGTGCCATGGATAAAAGGCATTTCATGCCTGCATTCTTCTTTTTTTCATGCGGGTCAAGGACGCTGGGAATTTAAGCAGCCATTGTCATTGCAAGGATTCTGATGAAGGAACCATGACTTTGGCCTCCAAGCAGCTTTGACAATGCACATGGCAAAAGTTGCGTATTGTTTTTGTTGAGTCAAAGATCACTTTCGGGCCATGTTCACACGGTGTCCCTTTATTGATTGGATGATTTGTAATGGCCGTCGTCGTCGTTTTGTTTGAGTTCAGCCTTCAGGCCCCGGTGATGACCCATGTGGTGGCCTGAGGCGCGAGTGCGAGAGACCTATGGATCTGTCAATTTGATGGCTATTTGGTGACGGATCTTTGGATCTTTCAACTTGTTGGTTGAAACAGCGTGGAGTTTCCGTATTGGACACAGGCAACGGTAACAAAGCGTTTGGCAGAAGGGGGTCAAACAGGGGTCAACAGCAAGCAAGTCCAGCTTGAAGCATCTTTGCGGAGATGTTCTCTTCGCAGCTTTTCTCCTCCTTCAGCTCGCCTTCAGCCCTTCCGCGGAAATGGCCCGCGTCCTTGGCCTCCTCCTCCTGGCGGCGCCAGCGGCCGCCTTCGCCCCCGGCTCAGGGGCGCCCGCACGGGCGGGATCTCCGCCCCGAGCGCTCGGGAGCTCCGTGGCACGCGCGGTGGACGAATCGGAGGCCAGCGATTCAGCAGGTGGAAAGTTTAAGGAAGGATCCATCCACGAGGTCTAAATGCATTGTTGTTTCATGTTGCTTTCATGTTGGACAATGGTGGGAACTTTCCATTTGAAGGGAACAAACTTACACCTAGCGCCAAGGCGCTGGCTAGGCCGGCTTGCTTTCACCGGATGTTTTTCTAGATCCCTGAACAGGGTTTTCGGGACATTCCAGGCAGACTCAGTCAGGTCACCCCCCTCAGGCCCCCACCATCCCCCAACCTTGACTCGTTTCTACACCCGTGCCCCTTTGCAACTATCAACAACTCGCCAACCTGAAACAGACTTTTCGGAGGTCGCGAGCCAAAACAAGCACGGAGACTTCGTTTTCAGATGTCTCGAGCTTGCAACAACTCACCCTGACTCGGACTTTTCGAAGGTCGCGAGCCGTGAGCGAGACGCCAGGCCCAGTCCTTGCCCTTCGCCACGGTGGCCATGGCCTCGATGGTGGGCCTCGTGCTGGGCCTCGCTTCCCCAGCCATGGCGGCGCCTCGGCGTCCATAGTGCGGTCGCTCGGTCCGTGGCCATGAGGTCCTTCGGGAGCTGTGGGGACGCATGGTCTCCTTCCGCCTTTGGACAGTTGGGGGCGTGGTTGTTTTCTTGTGCTTGCGCTTGTGTCGAACGACTGGTTTTCTCCTGTCTGCTTTCTTTGGCTGCTCGGGCAAGCAACGCCACCGAGCCAATATAGACCAAGTTTATAAATATAATATATATATATATATATGTTATGCACATATGCTGTGTTGCCATTTGTCTTGTTTGTGTCATTTGTGTTGTGTTGTGTGTTGTTTGTTTGTTGCCATGTTTCCTTATTTACTTATTGCGTTCATTCTATATGTCTCAATGTAGTTACTTATTCATGCATTTGTTCAATCGCTCCCCCCTAAGAAAAAGTGTGCCCCCACCCCAAAAAACAATGTCCGACGAACGATTAAACAAAATAAACGTTCAAGGTTGTTTGTTTTGTAGTTTTGAGTTCGATAGAAAAAGGCAAGAAACACAGCTCAAATTGCCATCAAACAAATAGATAAGGTACGAGCAGGTGAATATGACCATTATTTCTTGTGATGGAATACCCGTATGACTGGATTAGCGCGAAATCGGCAGGTTTAGTAGTGGTTTAGAATGGCCGGGGACAAACGATACTTGTTAATTGCGTGCATTATTTGTAGGGGGAGTATGATTTGTGTTTGCCTCTTTGGTTGTGGGTGTGTTTGTGTGTTGGTTTGTTTGTGTGCTTGTTTGTTTGTTTGTTTGTTTCTTTGTTTGTGTCTTTGTTTGTTTGTTTGTTTGTATGTTTGTTTGTTTGTGTCTTGTTTTGTTTGTTTGTATTTTGTTTGCTTGTTGCTTGTTTGGTTGGTTGGTTGCCTGCCTACTTGGCTTGGTTGGCTCTTTGGTTGCTTGGTTCTGTGCTTGCCTGTGTGTTTGTGTGTTTGTTTGTTTGTTTGTTTGTTTGTTTGTTTATTTTCTTCTTTCTTTCTTGCTTTACTTCTATAGTTATTCCGTTCTTCCTTTCTTCCTTTCGTCCTTTCTTTCTTTCTTTCTTTCTTTATTTCTTTCTTTATTTCTCTTCCCTTCTTACTTTCTTTCTTTCTTTCTTTATTTCTCTTCCTTTCTTACTGTCTTTCTTTATTTCTTTCTGTTTGTTTGTTTCTTTGTTTGTTTGCTTGGTTGTTTGGTTGTGTGGTTGGTTGGTTGGTTGTTTATTTGTTAATTTGTGTGATTGTTTGTTCCTGCGAATTGTTGTTTGTGTATATGTGCTTGTTTTGCTTGATTCTTTGCTTGCTTGCTTGCTTGCTTGCTTGCTTGCTTGCTTGCTTGCTTGCTTGCTTGCTTGCTTGCTTGCTTGCTTGCTTGCTTGCTTGCTTGCTTGCATGCTTTCATGCTTTCATGCGTTCTTGCTTGCTCGCTTGCTCGCTTGCTTGCTTTCTTGCTTTCTTGCTTGCTTGCTTTCTTGCTTTCTTGCTTTCTTGCTTGCTTGCTTGCTTGTTTGCTTGCTTGTTGGGGAGGTGCTTGTTTTTGAGAATAAATGAGGCATGCATGAAAGCACACATTGTCTCCTGTGTCAGATGTCATACCCAGAAGTATTGTTATATTTTGTCAGACGTTCCTCAACAATGAACTGTCAAGAAAGCGCACACATTTTTTCCTATGCCAACTGCGGCCACTGGGCCAAATAAGCACCAGCAATACCCGCTGTCATGTTTGTGGTGCGGGCTGGGATCTTTTTGAAATTGTGTCACATGTTATGTTTCACTAAATTTGGTCCAACATTTCATACTGTATCATGCTGGGGTTGTGGGCACAACGCTGAGGTAGCAGGGCGAAGCTGTGTCTACGGCTAATCTGGTACTTGTACGCAATGTTTATTCTGGCTCTATGATCGGAAGCCCTTGCCATGCAAAGAGGCTCGAACATCTGCTGAATACCAGAGATCGGAAGGCAGTAAATCCACGATGCGTGTGACAACCCCTGAAGTAGCCTATCGCAAAGAGAAGTTGTTTGAAAAGTAGTGTGATTGCTAGCACCTACTACAATGTGTCGCTTGCACTGCGCATCTGAATTAAAGGGGTGCTGGCCTTGACCTGCTCGGTGTCACCCCCACAGTCTGTTAGACCGAGTCCGAACATCCCCCAACCAACCGGAACAGGGCCACCGAATCGGCCAAATAAAAACCCACCGGAGGCCGGGGTAACTAAACGGGCCAGCCCGCGGCCTCACGGGGGATGGCGCCTCAGCGAAAAAAAGCGTAAGGAGCGGACCGCCACCAACGGGGGCTACAGCCAGATGTCGCCCTCCGGCTCCGAAAGCTCCAAGCTCTCCGCGGAGGTGGCGCAGGCGCAGGCAGCACCTCGGCGTCCACCCGCGGGTCTTCCAGGGTGAGGAGGAAACCCTTCTCGGCGGATTCTGCGCACATGGCAGTCTTGATGCTACGGGCTTCCACGGTGTTTTTCCCTTGGGAGAATTCAAGATGTCGTAGTGTAGGAGTCTTGTTGGGAAGCAGTGTAGGGGACAGCATGGGTTACGACTCTCCGGCCAGAGGCGGGTGGATGCGTCAAGTGAAAAGCCCCCAACGCAGCGGCATGGTAAAGCACCTGGAACATGAAGAAACGCATGCCCATGCATATAGACTTGGTAGCTCATAGGTTCGCTCTTTAGCCTTGTTGTCTCTTGAACCGCTGTGGCCTTGTTGTCTTTTGAAGAGGGTGAAAGATGAATCACTACAATGTAGACATGGAATAGAGTAAAGCATGGTATCTTCACACCAGTGGGCAGCCCAGCCCGCAGATGGACTCTGCGATTGCATTGGTGGTTTGTATGCACCACTGTCTTGTTTGGACAAGTTATGCTGTTATTGTGGTCCAAGTTTTGGAGCGAGAGCGAGATAGACCCCTGGGAAACTATGAAGGTGCAGCTAGGTGGAATGATAGCACATGCAGAGTCGAGTGGGATGCAAGTCGCTTTCTGACTCGGGTACAACTTCAAGGGATTGACCCATGGAGCAATTGGCAATGCCAGCGTTGCTTCAGGAGCTAAGGTCAAGGTTATGGATACGAATGCATCCCGCACGTATACGCACACACACACACACGCACACACCCACGCACCACGAAGAGACAGACATATACACACAAACACACATACACAAACACAAACACAAACACAAACACACACACACACAAGCGCAAACACAACAACAAGCACAAACACAGACACAAACGCACACACAAACACACAAACACACAACCACACACAAACACAAATACAAAAGCAAACACAGGACACACACCCACACAGACACAAAGAACAAATACATACAAAAACACGCAAAACAATAATAATATAACACAAACATCCACAAACACACACACACAATCACAAACACACACAAACACAAATGCAAATACAAATACAAGCAACACACACCCACGCACACACCCACCCAGCCACCCACCCACCCACGCACGCACGCACGCACACATGCACGCACCCTCGCACGCACGCACGCACGCAGGCAGGCAGGCAGGCAGGCACGCAGGCACGCATGCACACACACACACACACACCCACGCACGCACGCTCGCACGCGCACACACACACACACACACACCCACGCACGCACGCACGCACGCACGCACGCACGCACGCACGCACGCACGCACACACACACACACACACTCACACTCACACTCACACTCACACTCACACTCACACTCACACTCACACTCACACTCGCACACACGCGCGCGCGCACGCACACACGCGCGCACGCACACACACACACACACACACACACACACACACACACACACACACACACACACACACACACACACACACACACACACACACACACACACAGACACACACACACACACTCACACTCACACTCACACTCACACTCACACTCACACACACACACACACACACACTCGCACACACGCGCGCACGCACACACACACACACACACACGCGCGCACGCACACACACACACACACACACACACACACACACACACACACACACGCGCGCACGCACACACACACGCGCGCAAGCACACACACGCACAGCCACACGCACACGCATATAACATAAGCATTCGATGGTTGTCTGAAGAGGCGGCAGCTGGTGCAAAGTTACAACTTGGGAGTTGAAGCCCATATAGTTTCCCGAGGGCTTCAGCATTTTGAGCTTTGGCCTGAAGCCTAGGCATTGAAGAAGAACGCCAGGAGCAAGGAAGAGCGTTTGAAGGCACAGATGGCGCAGCTGAAGGACGTGGCAAAGACAGCGGACCTGTCTTTCGCCGCCAAGTGAGGGGCGTAAGTTTTTGCGAACGCTCCGAACGCTATGCGGAGCTGGACTTTCAAGCGGCCAGCAAAAAAGGGGTGGAACAGGCAAGTGAGTGACGACAGTGACGACAGTGACGCCAGTGACCTGCGCGGCCATCAAGATAGGCGACCTGGCCTTTGAGGTGTGAGTTTTGACCACAGAGCATGCCTGCACCGTTGGCAAGAGCCTTTTGTGTCCCTCAGAGTAAAGAAGCAAGACATGACCCTTCGATGCACCTCCCTGGGCGGTGCTTCATGTCCTCATTTGCGCCAGCCCTTCTCTTGGCGCGAGTGTGAACTACCATGCGAGAAGTGGACCACATTGTAAGCCCATGCCGGTCACTGGGGGTCCCAAGATTCTCAGTTTGGGAATAGCAATTTGCCCAGACAAATGCGGCCCCATGAATCAGTTTGCGGATCTTGCTCTCACGGACCGTCTGGGGTCCTCTGTCAGGACCCCACCTTCCTGTTTGAAGGGTCCATGTTGGATGGGTGGGCACCTTTTTCTGTTCTTTTTTCTCCTAATGGATACTTTGTTTCCCACAATGGATACTCTCATGTTCCTTTCAGGGAAGGCTCCACCTTTTGGGCTCGTTACACGTGGAATGCCAGGGCATCGGGCCTCAGTCAAGCTCCAGGAGGGCGGTTCGGTCATTGCCGGTCCATGGTTGGAGAGGGGACTGAGCTCGAAATGTCCCACAGCAGGGAACGAACTCCAATTCTCGCATTTTCTCGGGAATTGTTCGTAATTTTCACGATGACTCGGGTTTGTGTCAACACTTGCGCCCTTCCGTTAGAGACCTTCCATGACTTGACAGGGTGTGTGGAACCAGGGCTTGTGTTCATTCAAAGGACCCATGGAAACGTTGCCATTTAATGGCACCCAGGGTTAATAAAGCCCTGGCTGATGAATAGGGGGTGTCCCATTGCAAAGGGAGTCCTTTACATGAATCCGCAATCAACATCATAGTGATGCTGCTGCAGCTAAACAGTACTTGCTTGTTGTGGTTTCGATTTGTGTTTCCACTCTTCCATCCGCTGCTCAATGTGGCATTGGGAATTGCAGACACGGGTGCGCCTCAACATGTAGTATGTGGTGATATCTCTATGAGAGCGACTGTCACAAAGGAGCTCAGTTTGTTTGTTGCCCCGACTCGCACATGCGGTCCTGTTCCAGAGTTGAAGTAGCACAGTTTCTGGAAGTTTGTCGTTCTCGGCTGGACGTGTTGGTGTTTCCATGCGACCCTCGAGCAAAAAGTTAAGCAGCTATATGCAGCTGTTCTACATGACTCTTACCTTTGCACAAATGAGGGGCTGGTGGCCTGGAGCCCTGCGAGTCCTTCGCGACCGTCTCTAGATCGGTTTTAGATGCAAGAGGTGTGGATCGCGCTACCGAATCCGGCGACCTGGGCCTGGAAGACGAGCTGAATGGTACTCTGGAACCACTGGATCATGAAGGGTTCTGGACGTGTCTGGTTTACCTGATACTGGCTTTCTGGCTTCCGGTTTGCCTGATGTCTTTCCGGCTTCCCTCGGCTCATTTTGGTCAGAGGCAAGCGGTAGCACCAGAAGAGCCCTTAGAACCACTGACAGCCCTGTTGGAAGTGCGTGGTTTTCATCCCGCCGCTTTGGGGTGATGGCAGCTCCATTGGATCACGTGGAATGCTACATGTGCCAATTCGCAGCCTCCCGGGTTTGCCGTTTCGGGGTTCCAAGATCAAGGTGGCGGTGTCAACCGGATGAATCAGCCTGATGGGCATTCAGCCCAAAAGTAAAGGAGCTGGGACGCTCCCCCTGACCCACTCCATTGATCCTGGGCCCAACTTTGCGGGCAGGACATGAGGGCCAAAGGCCAAGCATGGGCTTCTCGGCGCCGGCGAGTGCCGCACTCAGACGGGCAACAGGCGTCACCAGGGGCTAGCTTTGCGGGAAATTCGCTAGGCACCAGCGCATGGAATTCCCGTTTGGGAGGAGCCCTCCATTCTCCAAGTGCAAAAGCTATAGCACTTCTTTCTTGCCGGTTGAGGCCGCAAAAAAACTTATGTTAGTAGGGGTAGTAGGGATCATTCAAAATTTGCTGTATTTCTGCGTGGTGAAGGACACTCGCGTGTGCAGATGCATTGCCCCTGCAAGAAAGACGCTTACATTACATACCGCGGCAAGCCCCCCCCCCCCATGCAAGGCACAATCAGCCTTTGGCTGAGCGCGAGAAGTGGTGTTTACGAGCATGCACCCAAGGTTCGGCTATTCCGTTTGGCGACGGTCAGGGCACTCCATGTTTTTGCAAGCAGGGCGCTGCAACATTCAGCGATGCAAAACTTCAAGCAAGCTGAAGCACAAACAGCCACCTCAACAGCAGAACAACGCTTGTTTGCCTACACTTCGTTGCTTCCAAAGTTCGACACTGAATGAGAACCCCATGTTGCCGACCATCAGTTCGCAGACAAATCCAGAGTTGCGGAAACACATGAACCTGCACAGATCTGCAGAGAGTATGTCAAGCATGTTGCAGGTCTCCAAATGGAAAGGCAACCAAATCGAAATGACATGGGGACATCCGGCTCCGGGTTGAGGCTTCATTAAGATCTACACGCGGCAGGCCCTTTGGAGGCGGCATTGACTCGGCTCCCAGAAGGGGTAGCTGCGAAGCCAAGAAGACATTTGGGTATGAATTACAGAGGGGTCATGATGATGATGAATGGCGTTTCAGACTCCATGCCCAAGTTTTTTGCGAAAGGCAAGTTGACACGCATGCATCAGATGTAAAGAAAAGGCAGCCATGACCGAGCTGCTGTACGCCAAAGATGGAGTGTGACTCAAAGGTTCAGGAGTCTTTGGCATCAGATTCAAGTTAACAGGAAACTTCGGAAACCAACAGTAAACCCAGCTTTTAGGAACCCCGTTTTTCCCACGCCCCGCTTATCGATGATTTCCGGCCGCATGTTGGATACGTAAAGATGTTCCTGAACACCTGAAGGGGACAGAACTGGAAAGGGCGCAAGCCGGCCATCAGTCAGGAGCTCCACTTATCGCAATTCCCCACGAGTTGACCTCTTGGCCAGGCTTATCACCGCGGCACAAGCGATCGAGCAGCCGAACGTGGAGTCACTGCATGAGGCCAACGGGTGAGCGCGGCGAAGCTGTGATGGCGGCAAGGCAAAAAAAGATGCCGCTAGCTTGAGGCACTTTCAAAAGCGAGTTCCCTTTGACTTCCGTTCAATCAAATTCCAAAAGGTACGTGCCAACTCCAACAAATGACCCGCGTGAACTTCCCAGCCAGTTTGTGGCCTTTGACTAACCTTTGGCAAGAGGATTGGCCAGCGTGCGCGGCACTCTCTGCTTCTTCGGAACATGTGTTGTTTTTAGCTGATAGCATCTTAAGGTGCAAAACGTCTCAGCTGTTTGTGGCGTCGAATGACTTGCTTGAAAGTTGAAAGACAAGCGCACCTTTCAGCAAGTTTACTCGTTTCGCCTCACTCTGGTATTCTGCCAATCCTTGAAAGAGTGCGACAGCCTAACAATGCAGAGACTGGAGCAAACTTGACACACACACACACACAGGGTGCCTGTGTTTCAGACCAAAGTTGACGGTAATTATTGATGTTCTCTAGTTCAAGACAAGCAACTCTGACATGGTGCGGACATCTAGACTGTACGATGGTCGCACAACCAAATTGGACATGGGATACCAAGCCTGCCTCAAACATGTGCAGACCAAATTCGTAAGGATGTATTTCCAGCAAGGCGGAGCGTGAGACCTTCACTGATCGAGAGCCACCGACGCGGGAATAAGAAGGTAAACCAGCGCTGAACAGACTTAGCTCCTTTGGCTCCTGGAGCTGCACAAGCCGCACATCACTATGTGCACCATGTTGGCGTTTCAAATGTCGATCACTACCAAGCATTATTGACACGGCCAAAGCACGAAACTTCATGCACATGATGTTCTCCACGTCTCCAAGACTCGTACCCACAGTGCTGGACTTCGGCCCCAACGACATCCGACGGATTTCCCCGCCAGAGTTGCCATGAGCTTGAGCCAGCTGCCAACAGAGCTGCTGGAAGAGGTGAGGGTCCAGAGGGATTGGGATGACGTTGCGTTGTGTGGTCCAAGTGAGAAAGGATCTGGCCCTGTTGGGCTGGATGTAAATACTGTATATTTCTTTGTATATCAAATATTCCATGTCCACTTAGTGTTGAAGGACCAATACGCCCCTGGCTGATTGAGAGAGAGGGTCCCATTTTAGAGAGGCTCCTTCAACCGCAATGGTGCCTTTGGTGTCCTTTTTTCTGGTGGTATCCCTTTTAAATTCAACCAAAGAAGGGTGGCCCTTCACCTATGATCACCGGAGGTCTACTTGGATGTTCAACCCACTTAGGTTATATCGATGGTTTGGTGAGACATCCCCAGGTTGACATGGTTTTTGCCTCTTCAATTTGGGTGTTTCTTTTTTGAGGGTTCTCCCTGGGTGGTGGGTTTGAAAAAACAAAACAAAAGGACCCCCCCTCCCCTCCCATTTTAGTGGGTCGAAAGCACCTCTGTGGCTCATAATTCGCGGGTCGAATGGCTGAAGCAAGACACATGACCGTGGGTCAACCTCAATGGTACCATTTTGGTTGGTAGGTGAATTCACAACCCGTTTTAGAACCTATTGTAGCGGTCGAATTTGGATGTTCACTGGGGGTACGATTTGGGTTGTGACCCATGCCAATGTGTCAAAAGCTTGACCCAAAACAATGGGCCCGTTCTTAGCAACCTTATAAGAACCAAGCTTTTGTTCCACAGCCACCTCCGCGCGCGGGCGCAGGCGTGCGTCTTGGTGGCGGGGGGCGCCTGGAGCAGCTGGTCCGGGGCTTCGGCGGAGTTGGGGGCGCTGAGGGCGCTGCGGCCCTGCTGCCGCGGGGTGGCGGAGGCCAGCAACGGGGCGCTGGAGGAGCTGGAGCTGAAAGGTGGGGGGTGGGTGGGGCGGGGGGTTGGGGTTTGGGAGAGGGGGGGAATTGGGGAGTGGGGGGGCAAGCTTGGGAGGGTCAATGGGCTTCCCGGACTTTTTCAGTTCAAGCGGAGTAACTTGGGGGGGGGGGGGGGCAAGGTTGGGGAGGTGGGGAAAGGGAAAAGCTGGGTTGAAGAGGAGTGGGTCCCAGGGATTGGGGGGACGAGGGTGGGGCTGGGCGTTTAGATATCTACCTGAAGCGAGCACACGGTGGTTTTGTTAGTTGAGTGACATTCCAGAGGAAGCAGAGTGATGCTCGGATTGGCTACCAAGTTTGCCTTGCCACGCCTTACGAAGGAATGCCCTAGTGCATAATGGGTTGTTCGGTGTTTTGCCTTATGTTGAACGGCGTTGAACCTTAAGGCGCTGATTGTTGCAGCTAAACCAGGGATGAGTTTGGTCACGTGCTTTGAGATATTGAAGGCAGACAAGCCCCTTTTTCTTTGCCGCTGTACTGACTCTACAAGGCATCGCACCATACACTGATGCCGCACTTTGCAGGGTTCTGCCTTCAAGCAAGATGTTCCCCGCTAACAAGCTCTGGGTCATATTAGTGAGATGCGCCCAGACAGCAGCTCGGCGAGTGGCGCCAATGTGGTACCAGGTTTCCATTGTTTCAATCGTCGATTTGTCTGCATGTTCCTTTATTGTCTTCCCTTTATAAAGTGCGAACACTACGAGGTGTTCGACCGACATTTGTACATTGGGAACCCCCGGTTTCGGCTTGGAAAATCATAATTTTCCCCCCTCCGGAGGCCGGGGCGTGGCGTATGCGGACGTGGGCCGCTTCCCCCGGCTGCGGAAGGTCCAGGTGTGGCTGGCAGAGGCCTGGGACTGGGAGAAGGTGAGGCTGGTGCTGGAGAGGCCGCTGCAGCTCTGCCTCAAGTTGGCTGTGGGTCAAAACCGTGGTACCGTTTTGGTTGGGGGTAGGTGAATTCACCACCCATGTTAGAACCGATTTTAGTGGTTGGATTGAATCGGATGTTCACTGGGGGCTAACCGATTTTGACCCATGGCCAGTTCTCGACATGTTCGCAGGGAACCGCCTTGAATGGACCACTTTGTCCTCAAGTCATGTCGACAGGATCCCCAAGAAAGAATCGGAGATCTCCAGTTGTGTTGCTTGAATGTGGATTGAAGGGTAAATACCACGGAATGGCGACTTAGCTTTAGATTGTTTTACATTCGTATTTCAAAGTTGTGGTTTCCCTTCTGACATTGAACCTATTTGGATGATGGGATCCCCGACTCCCGAGGCAGGTGGACCTCTTCATCAGCTCCGACGCGGCGGCGAGGTGTGTGGCTTCTCCGCTGCACGTGGGAAGGCTGCAGGTCACATCGCTCAGCGACGAGGACTTGGACCTTCTCGTAGAGAACTGCCTTGGCTTGCAGGACGCGCGCGGGCACGTTCGGTGGCTTTAAATAGGGGACCACCCAGAATCGGCGGTTTCCTTGAGGATGGTTTTCTTGAAATGCACTCAAGAGTGCCCCCCCGCCAAAAAAAAACACATCATGTTTTTGGGCAGACGAAAGATTCAACAGAATCTAAAGCTATGGTTTTTGTACGCCCGGGCCAAGCACGGGTAAGTTCGAGATCCTTGGGTTTGCCTTCGGTTCTTCTTCAAAAACCCTCCAAGAAGGTCGTCCCCCACAAAGAGCTGGCAGTCGCCCATTCAGCTTCTTCTTTGGGCTCTTGAAAACAGGGCGTGGAAAGAACGCAGTTCTCCGCATCCCATGAGATTCGAATCACCAGTTTCTTTTGGCTCTTGAAGCAACCCCCTCAAATAGATGCGTCTGTTTTTGGGGGTACCGCCCCCTCCGGCAAAACAAGTAAGTAAGTCGTGGTTGTCCTTTTGGTTTCACTTACGTACCCCCAGTGGGCTTTCACCTCATGAAATGTGAGTGAATGGGCATCCTCCATGGCGTCCATCTATTTCCTTTTGGTCCTCGGGTAGGTTCAATGGCACCCCTTGATCAACTTTCCAAGAACATCCAGTCCAGGGACCTCTAAGGAATCAGATCAATGGCAGGATCCGTGGAATTGGTCCCGCCATGTACGCGTGTGGTTTCCTATCGGGGTGTTTCTTGAATTAGGATTCGGACCGCCGGCAAACATTTGGTTTCCCATGGCCTGACTCGACATGATCTCGAGGCACCTCGCTGTCTCTCTGGTTCGAAAGGTTGGCTGGTTCCGTCGCTGTGACCTGCGTCATGTTTTTCGCTGTGTGATCTCTACCTGCGTCGCCGCGCCAGCGCTACCACACGACCACCACCAACACCAACACCGCGAACAACAACACACCTACCCAACACCAACTACCACCCATCATCCACCTTCTTATTCCACTTCCTTATGTTTTTTGTTTTGTGCAATTTAGCGCACAAACCCCGATAAGACAACTCTTTTCTTGAGGATTCCGCGTTCCGCGCTTCACCGATTGGATTCCATTCGGCAGGAGCTGGATGCCAGAGGCTGCGACTTGAGAGAGCCCAGGTGCCTCAAAGACTCCTAGCTGAGTGGCGATTGTTCTGGCTGGTGCTCAGGGAAACTGGGAATGACCCCTTGCGGTTTCCTTCAAGGGGAATGCTGGGTTCCTTCCCAGATTCCCTCAGCACTAGCAAGTTTTGGAAGGGTGTCCATTCAAGATCAACCACAAAAAATGAGATCAACCAACAACTAATGACTCATGACTAACCTGAATTAAGATCAACCAACATAATTAAGGTCAACCCACAGCTAATGTCTAACATTGACTAAAAGCATAAAGGCTCCACTTATTTCCACTTCTTCCACTTGGGCTTCTGAGGACTTGGCCCAGAGAGGCGTGAAGATGTGCCTGGACGGATGCTGGCGCCTCACGGATGACTCTCAGCCGAGCGTTTTGTTGGTTTCAGCCGGGGCATTTCTGGTTTTGGAGGGTCTTACTATCACCTGCAGCCTTTTAAAGCGAGTCTTCCTGGGGTGACGTTGCTTTTTTTCTGGGCTATATCGGCAACCCTCGTGCTAAGGCAACCTTGGGCCAATGGCTTGCTCCCGGAGGATTGTGATTCTTATGTCTTCCGGGTCCCCCGATTCATTTCATACACGGATGTCTTTCCATCATTATTGTTGGGACACATTTTTCATTTTTGCTCATTGATTGTGGTTTAGTGTGAAATCCCCCACTTAACTGCTAAAATTTTGGATTTTTGCTTCCCTTCCAATGTCAACCAAGTTTCTGTTTTAGGACATGCACATGGATATTCCGTACATGGAGTGTTTGAGGTCTCAAGGTCCCCCCAGTGCAACCTTGCCAGAGGAAGTGATCGACGAGCTCGCCTTGTGCCACCAAGCCAGGCAGTGCTCTGTGGACCTTTTCTCCTGCGATTGGCTCATTGGGCAACAAGTGGAGGTGGTGATTTTAGTGCCGCAATTCCTGGGGTGTTGGGTGCTGGCCAGCATCATCTCCAAGTCCATGCCCTCTCCTGATTTCGACCGCGAGCCCTGCTTTCACATTTTGGTGAGGCAGACCACGGCGTACAACAGCGCCGTGGGCTTCTCTGGTCACGTGGCTTCAAGGATTCGCCGACGGCATCTGCGCGACGTCCGCGAGGGAAAGGCGACGAGTTGCTGTTGACCTCAGCTTTGCATGTTTGAGTTTGTTATCATGGTTTCCAGCAACATCTGTGGCGTATGGGTGTGTCTCAAGATACAGTAAGGGACCCCGCAATAGCCGGTGCCCTTTTGGTTTCCCGTAAAGAACCAAACAAAGAAAGGTCCCCGCAACAAGCAGGCACACCCTATATGCTACCGACTCTGCGGGTGGTTTCGGGGCTGGGCCTCAAGGGCTCGCTGACAAGTCTGAGCCGCTGCGTTCGTTGGAGAAAAGAGCAGAGCTCAGGTCGACCCACCAAAACGCTTCGATTCCTCTTCTTGGTGGCTCCCAGCCATCCCCTTAGCTTCTTAGCCTTTTAGTGTTTAGTGGTAGTTTCCATTTAACCCACTACAGTAAAAGTTAAACTTTTAGCGGGGAAATCTGAGGGCAGTCCAGTCTTGGTTTCAGGCGCGCGAGGGTATCGCCGATGCACCCAAATGGCTGAATGTTTACAGTAGGAATCGGGGGCAGGGGTGTGACACGGTGACACGCGGCATTCCACTAGTGCCTTTGGTGAGGAAGGCTGGAACACAACTGGACCAGGGCGAGCCCAATGCCTTGATGATGCTTGGGTCTTTCACCATGTATTGCTCAGGCCTGTTGAACGTTTGGGATCCATGCGTCATTCACTTATGTGGACGCGCACCTACGAGAAGTACTTTGGTTCCAATTGAGTGTACCCTGTCAATGAAACACTCGCTTGAGGCAAGGTTTGCTTAGCACTTGTCTAAATCAGCAGACCTGCCCCCTGTACAGGGAAGCTAAATTCTAGCAGATCAATCATGTTTGGAGAAGGGGTTGGCCCAGCCCTGCTTTTCGGGATCTCGTTTGGTTCCAGAGTGCACAAGTTAAGGCGAGTTTTCCATACTAGTCTCAGGGAGAAAGAAGTATTGAATTTTGTTGCAGCTGTGAGTAGTATATCCCTGTTCGAGTGCATGTTGATTTGTGGGCCTAGCTGCAAGGTCGCTGGGAAGTCCTAGTTGGGCCTTGCATGTGTTTTCTCAGATCGAAAAGCACAGCCCAGGCGGTCCTGAACTGTTCATGTCAGGTCGCTTCTACAAGCGCAAAGTTTTAATGCAATGATGCGCTCAATGGCTGACCGTTGATTCCACTGCGGGACTGCAATCATGGCTCGGGAGTTTGTTTCAGCCGTCGCTACTCGTCGTTAGGGACGATGCGGTAAACATTGATCATACCTCTGCTGGCAAATTCCGAAGATGCTAAGCCATGTATGAATAAGTCAACATTGAGCTAGATACCCTGCCATTCCGGATGGTTTCAATGTGCAAAAGGGGAAGCCCACCCACCCACCCACCCCCATGCGGAGGGGCCACAATCCAGGTCCCCATCATGCAAAATCAAGCTGGGGGGGGGCCTGTTATACCATTTCTTCTTGAAAACGATTTTCGCTTGAATAGTGGTTTTGGTTTGGGCGAAACAAATTGCTCATGGCATCCTCGTTGAACGTGGGTCCCACTTTGCCGGGCTGCGGGGGTTCGCTTCCATGAACCATGGCGCTCTTGAGCTCCTTGAGCCTGTCCCTGCTGCGAGAGAAGGACAAGCCCAGCTCGGAACCCCAGCCCTCAAACCCCGCACGGCAGGACTCGCCACTGGGCGTTGTTTTCCCCACCCGACAGGTTTGGGGTTGTTAGACTCTCCACATGCGGTTGTCCGCCCGCTGACAGAGCCTGTGACAGACAGATGTGACAGAGCCTGTGATAGATAGATGTGACAAGTAGCTGTGAGCTCGTCGCAGACAGCTGTGACAGAGCTTGTGACAGCATGTGACAGCCCAAATCCTGACGCTCCCGCCTGGCTGGGCCAGCACGGCCAAAAGCTGCAAAGCCTGACACTCCGACCTGCGAAGCCCGCAGCCCAGATGTGACTGGGTTCACGCGCGCAATGGAGGGCTGTGCTTTGCCCCAAACAAGGAACCTGCCATGACATGGAGGCAAGTGGTACCTCAATCCGGTTGAAGATCCTCCCAGTTCGCGCTTGTCCCGCCGCAGCTTGCGCAGCAATTCCAGACTTCCATGTGTGCGATCCGGTGTGAAGGCAACGCCGTTGATTGTGCAAACCTGTGTCGACTCTGACCTGGCCTTTGCGTATGGATGACATTCTATGCCGCACAGCGCAAGTGGCAAATTAAGTTATGGATCCAGCATCTTTGAATGGACTATGCCTTGTCTCACGGCGCTAAGCTACTGGCCCGAGCCAGGTCGTCACGGGCCTTTTGGTTTTGCCTTCTTTCGTGCCCGGGCCATTTGTCATTTGTCCCTGGCCCCACCGAGAGCAATAATCAGCCCTGCGCACTCTCCAGCAGTCTCATGAGCTGACATGAGAAGCGTCGCGGTCCTTTGCTGCCGGTTCTAGTATTTCTGGTCTGGCGAGTGTAGTACTTGGCCCCGACAGGCGCAAAGTTCACTTGTCAGTTCCCAGCCGCTTTCAGCTTTCCATGTCAGCTTGAAAGAGGGTGGGCAACCAAGGAGCATCGCCAGCCACAAGTTGAGCATCTACCCCACACAACATGTCTCATATATGCCAGTCTGAGGGAGTGATCTTTCTTGCTGCTGCAGCTCCCAAGCCCGTAGCAGTAAAGAGGCGTTTGGGCTTCGCGGATTGCCGATCGCCAGAGCGCAACTGACACATGATTCTGCCAAAATACTTCGGCCAACGGGGATAGCTCCACGCTCTGATCAAGGTTCCACCTGCCAATCCGTTACTTGTTCAATTCATCAAGACGATGCATCCCCTGCACCAACTTGCTGGCAGCTACCAGCCTTTCAATTTTAGGACCCCCCAATGAAGGTAGATAATTATAGATCCCATATATATGTTGCCCACATGGTCTCAGAGTCTTTAAAACTTCATCCCCGCCTTTGAGTTCGCTCCTTGCGAGCCGAGGGAAGTCAGAGCCGGACGCCAAACCGAAGCCGAAGCCGAAGCCGGAGGCTGGTCTTGGCCCTTTGGGTCAAGAAGGTGTTTTTCAAAATCGGGACTTGGATTTTTGCGAAAGGATCGGGTTTCCTTTGATTTTTTAGCTTCAACCACCAAAGGGTACCAAGCCTTGGAAAATTTCACATCTATGTTCCCAATGATGTTTTTCATTGGGGTTTCCTTCTATCCCACCTGCCCTTCGCCTAAACAAAATATAGCCCTTCTGTGCGACCTGGAGCCTTTGTTTCCCCACAAGCAACGTGTTTGGGGAGACTCAAAACCAGCCTGGGCTTGAGTCTATACTCCTTTTTGATCAGGGTGTTGTTTGTGTCTACACGGGGTCAGTAGATTGTAACGAGGGTGACTTACCCGGGAAGAAACTTCCAGACCAGGGTTTGCTTTGAAGCTGCTTCATTTTGAATTCGTCCAGACGTCACGGGTCGAAGCAGCTGGGCTTTGTTGACCATTGTTGGCCTGCCTCCCAACCTTGGAGTGACCTGACTGTCCCTTCCTTCTCCCAATTGTAGGATGGTGAGATGAAGGAACGCCGCAAGAGCCCTTGTGTGGCTTGAAAGGATACCGAAGAAACTGAAAACCCTTGAGGTCCAACTAGTTCTCACAGATGGTTCATGACTCCACTCTTGACCAGGTCCAGTTGGAAGGATGATATCTACTCTTTGCCAGGTTGCACCTAGCCGTGCCAGGCCGGATGTCGCGCAGCTAGTTTTTGTTTGATTGCGCGTCAGGGGAATTCCGGTCCAGATTATATATTATGTGGCAAGTAGCAGGAAACCAGGAATAGGCTGCGAGTGTCCATGGTCTGTGGCTGCTTGCATCATTCTGGAGATAGACTGTCCCCATAGTTTTTGCACATGGTGTCGTTGTTTCCAGAATTCATCTATTCCCTGGCTGCTTGGCCAGCCAAATAGTGAAGCGGACGCAGCTAGGGGAGTGGGTTGTTGTGGTTCATGCGACAATGTTCGAAACAAGTGAGGCAATGATTATCCCTATGCAAGGCTTGAATGCAGCGCCAAATTTAGCGTTATTGGATGGATGTTGGTTTCCTTTTCGTACACTGAACCATGTTGAAGCTAACTGTTTGACCTATTCCACTGTTGAGCACCCGTTGGTCCGTGCCGATCGTGTCTTTTTTGTTCGCCTTCGGCCCATTGTACGACAAGTGGCCCATATTGTCTACACTTTTGCATTTGAACCAACATAAAAGCAACGGTTTCAAGGCGTTCTTTCGGACATGTCCACTTCCCGATCAAGAGACATTGCTACTGGGTGTTGCTGGCATCCACCCTCCTTTGAGACAGCTGCCGAGCTCCCGATAAACAACATGGTTTTATGATGTTGTGTGCCTTCGAGGATTTTCAACGAGAAGGCCATGACCCCTGAGAATGATCAAGGATGTAAGGGGCATTTGCCCTTGCCCAAGCCTTTTGTATACGTACATGTTTAAACCTATCGAAGTGTGCCACCAAGTGTGATTGTTCGTGGGAAGTAGGCAGAGACCTTGCTTGGCCCCTGGATCGGATGTTTGACTCAATCTCTATGGTGATTGCTCGTGGGGGAGCCACTTCCTGTGCCCCGTGTCAGCAATGAACAAGTTATATATTGAAGGAAGTTTTCTTGTTTCAGTTTTGGGGGACAAGACAAGGGTTCGCAGCCAAACAAACGTCAGATAGTGAGAACTCGAGCCGGTTCATATAGAATGGCTGCTGAAAGGACTTAGGGACGACTGTGGAGCTTGATTTGGATGTGCTAAAGTGATGTTAATGGTTTGAACGGGAGGTGGGTGTATCTCAACATTGCGGGTTGCCTTTCGGCTACCGAGAAGTGTGGTGCCCTCCCATTCTGCAATATGAATCCGTTCACAGGAGAATGGCTCAAGCCAAGACCCTCGCCAGGTTCCATGACAGCGATGGGAGGGTACCTACCAGCAAAAATGCATCCAATCCAAGGGTTTTATTTGTGAGGCCTCAAAAACGGCCAAAGCGAAGCAAAACATAAGTGGCTGTGGGTCAAAACCAATGGTACCATGTTGGGGTAGGTGAATTCACCACCCATTTTAGGACCTATTGACCCCACTGGGGGCTAACCGATTTGGCTTTTGAAAAGCCCCTGCCCAAATATGAGCCCAACCATGGGGGGAACTGAACCCCTGGTGGTGAACCCTGGTTTTTTTTGGCGGGAACCCTGCGTCACTTTGGAGCGGGCTACTAGTCCCCTGTATGTACATGACACCAGTTTTGGGGGGAACCCTGGTGGTGAACCCTGGCAAACCTAAGGTCACGCTTGGGAAAGGGGTCTTACCAGCCAACCTACAGGCCAGAGCCCGAGGCGCAGGCCAGACTCGCCAGACTCGCGTCCGGTCGCTCCGCAAAAAGAAGAGGTCGGGGACCAGAGAACGCAGTATGCTTGTTGGAGGTTAGGCCCAGTGCCCTTTTACCGTTTCCATTTTGGGGGAGGAATCATTGAACCCCCAACCAAAATAGACTAGAGAAAAATGTTGGTACCCTTATTCTAACCTCTCTACTGGAGGACCTAGTTGTTCTATGCGTCTTTCTCTTTTTTCTCTGGGTGATGAGCAGCGCCATAAACCCTGGCAAAACAAAGTAGTCCAGGGGGCCCCAATTACACTGCGCCGCCCATTCAGTTTGATTGGTATACTCCCGTGGGAGTCTAAGCGTGCGTTTGTGCGTGAATTGGGGGGTGGCCTGTAGACCCCCCGCGAAAGCCAAATCGCAGGCTGCGAAAGCTCGCGAAAGCTGAAGGCGAAAGTGCCTGAAGAAGCTCCTCCCGCCGCGAAAGCCCCGCGAAAGCCTGCATGTTGATGCTGAGCGGGAGTTGTGTTGCGCAGTCTGACATTTGGAGAGCACTGCCGTTTGTGGAAATCACTTTGCAGAAAGGCCAATGGCCATCGTCAAAAGGAAGCTGCAGCTTCTGAGCTCATGCAGTCCAAAGGGTGTGTGTTAAAGAGTTCCGCCGGGAAAGCGCCGCGAAAGCAATTCGAAAGAAAACGGAGCCCGCGAAAGCAAAACATGGGGTCGCGAAAGCATCGCGAAAGGGTTTTGCGAAAGCAAGTTCTTTTGACACAAGAGTACTCGGCACGGCTCAGATGGTGGGGCACACACACACACACACACGACAGCGTGCAGGGATCTCAGTTTTTCATCCGGCCCTTCCCCTTGTCACCAGAGAAGCACTGCGGGGCTACGCTGAGGCTTCGAGAAGCCCATTGCAAGGCAAAAAAGCAATTTCTGCTCCTGTTTTTATGGTCTTCTTGGCACCTTGTGAGCAACCCACGGGCTTTAAGATATCGGCCAGAGCTTTTCTACCTCTAGGCTTCAAGTGACTAAATCCCCTGATTTTTCTCTGGTCGCGAGTCGCAAGTGGCGTTTTCCGCCACTGGACTCCGGAGGTGAAGCCTCCGGCGCCCAAGCCAGCGCCGGCGTCGCCTCTGCCGCCATCTTTACCGGCGGCTCCGGCGAGCGCCTCGAGCGATGCAGGCCTGAGCCTTCGGGAACCCTAAGTAGCACGCGAGCCACTGTTGGTTATGCAAAATATCTGGGAACATGAATGGGATCTAAGGTTTGGAGCCGATTTCACCCATGGTGAAGGTTTCACCTTAGGTTACACGACTAGAAAACAAATGAACACACAAATAAGTTGTGATCTCAAGAACATGACACATCCTTATACTTCAACTGGATAGCTTACATGTTTGCGTTCTTGCTTTTTCGGCCTGTAAGATTTCTGCACTCGGCTACAAGTGCAGTTTGCGGGTCCTAAATCTGGTGAATGCCACGCGCAAGTTTACGTTCCTTGCGGAAGGTACGGGGCACGCACCAACTTTATGGCAGTACTCTGCTGACTTCACACTTGAGCTTGGAATGGGCACTTGCAAGAATCAAGGCATGGGTCGTTTAAGCACTGAGTCCTTGTATGGAGCCCTGGCATTCGATGCACATAGTGTGTTGAAAGGATCCACCCACAGCCCCTGACCGCAAATATGACCCTACTATATTTGGATGGAATCAGGGGAGGGGGAGTTGCAGGGCGAGCATTTGGATCCCACGCTTTGCCGAACGAGCGTTGTGCCTCGCAGGCGACTCGCAGCCCAAGGCCAGTCACCCTGGGGAAGAGAAATGCCGGTGTTCCAGCATCTCTTTGGTTTTGATGGATTTTGGCTCTGCTATCGATTATGATATACTAAGTGTTGATACGCGTTGCAGACCGAATGGTTGCCGTGGATGCTGGCCAAAACATGTACGTCGTCCGTGCTTCAGCTTAAATGGTTGGGATGTTCGGTCAGCTTTGGGCTCGGGGTTCAACCTGCTGGCCACTGGGCCACTCCCCCAGGCAAGTTTCTGAGTTCTGACTGAAGGCATTAGGTAACAAGATTGTTCAAAGACCAGAAGTGTGATCTCGGCAATGATGCCATGCATTCCACCGGTTAAGTTTGAGGTTCACTGAAAATAACCAGCAAGCAAGCTCATGTTTGGTCAAATGGAACTGCAAAAGCTGAGGTGGATGAGGTTTGCAGCGTTCAAGTCACCACGGCAGAAAACAAGTTGTCAACCCCCACCCCCTCCCTCCCTCCCCCCCTCCCCAAATCGGTGCAGCAGTTTCAAGACGCTGTCACAGCGAGAAGAGCTTTTTCCCAAACTGAAAACTGTACAGCCACAAGAGACTAGGCATGTCTTGCAACATGCAAAAATCTTGCTGATCCAGCCAGATTGCAGATATTTCTCAACCAGGAGACCGCTAAACATCGTGGTTTAACGCAGATCTTCTTTCGGCAACAGGCGGCGGTTCAGTGTCACCTGCAGGCTATGTCCAGCTTGCTGGGTGCCTACAGCGACAGCGAAGAGGAGACTCAGGCGCACGCGTGTCATGTTACAGCAACCTTTGAACTTGCTGGTTTGTGTACTACATTGTATACAGCAAACAGGGAGCTGAATGTATTTCATGTGAATTATGCATCTCAACAATTGATTTCTCCCCGCTTTCTCAGGCCAAGGCTTCGGCTCATGAGAAATCGTCGGCCAAGTTTGCAGCGTGTTATGGAATTCGTATACTACCCTCTTGGGTGCTCCTATGCTTTACCAAGGGGGAAATATAGGAAGGCCTGTAGTGACCTGGATTGCAACCCACTGAAAACCGGGTAACCCGGCTGCATTTTGGACCCCGAATGCATTTGTTCGGGGTGGAGACTGTTTGCCGCCGTATTGCTGAAAGCGGGGCCCATGCCCAGAATGCACCCTAATATCAACAACGGCTGAATCCTGCATGTCCAGCTTATTCATGTTCTGCTTGCAGTTTGGGTGAGATGGATTTGCGGTTACCTCTAATAACGAGCAAAGAATCGCCAGAACGAAGGTTGCAACTCAGCTTACATCGCGGGGTTGCGGTCACAGCATATCCATCAGCAAATGACGTGCGAGCTGGGTTTGTTGTCTGTGGTTTGGACTTGCGCTTCACTTAAGGAGGAAGCGCCCTGTAGCTTCTGACGCATGACAATCATAATGTGTGGCTGTCACTTCATACCCACCTTGATTGGAGGGGTCCAAGCACCTGGTTTGGTCCAAACACGGGGCGGATTGATGCCAGTCTCTCAGTGGAGGCTTCGTTCCTCGTCGTGGGTTTGAAGCCTTTTCAGCATTTTCTGGTGGCCTCTGGATCCTCCCTCTGACCCAGGTGAAGCCTATCTCTTCCGCTGCCGCAGCAGTGGTAGCTACTGCCGGAGCGGGTGCAACGTCGGCTGTGAGTGCATCACCATCAACCCATAGATCCTGACATGGCTTCTTGTCCAGGTGATGGTGTCGGTTTGACGTGCGCATGCGATCTATACTTCAGGGTGGCAGCCCGGCGGGGGATTCGGGCTTGAAGTCCAAGTCCCCACACCCTGCCCTTCCCTTTTCGACTTTAGCCGTTGCGGTTTCCAGCTTTGGGCAAGTGCGATCTGAAATGGGATGTAACGTCATGAGGATGTTCTCCCAACTCTGGGTCTTGAGTTGTTCCCCATCCTCAATGTTGATATCCAAATTCCGGATCTTAAGTGATTTGGCATTTTGTTTGGTGGAATATTACATGGTTGCAGTTGTTTGCCGGTTGTGCAAAACATGTCATTCTGAATGTTGGCTATGCATCCTAGGTCTTGATTGGTTTGTCATTCGCTTGTTTTCAGACACTCTTGTCGTGAGGTTTGCTTTTGGAATCGAGTTTGGAACTTTGCCTGATGATTTTAATGCTTGACAACCATACTCCTTCTGAAGGTGTTGTCGGCATCCTGGATGTCCATATCGTCCATGTGTCTGAACATTAGGGTGCTCTCCAAACATGAGTTGTTGTTCCCGTTCTCCACAATTCCAACATGCTTCCCATGATCCCCAGTGGATGCATTCAGCTGTGTAGTGGGTAACCAAGGGAACTGTACTTTAAAAGCCGGGGATAGCTGATGAGTGGGGTCCACTGGGATTGTTTGTTTGTCTCCCTCACGCGGCGCATCCTTTGTGATGAAGTCGTAATGCTCCAAGCTAGTGCCATCGGGTGGTCGGGCGTGCATTTCCCTGGTAAGGGTTCCTCTTCATCAAGGAAACTTGGGATCTGCAAGAGCTCCTGCCATGGCAGGGTGCATGCAGATTCCCCTTGCTGCCTCCATCTTACTGGTGAATACGAACCCTCCTGCTCAACATAGGGGGGTTCTTCAAAATTGACCTGGGCTCAATCTTGTGTTCATGCATGCAGTATTCTCAAGCGTTTCACTTTCACGGACCCAGTGCCCTTTGCCTTCTCCTCCAAACGCTCCTGTGGCAGGAGCCAACCGTGCGACGGTTTTGCGAGCAGAGGCCCGCCAGGCGCGGAAGGGGTGAGTATTTTGACGGTTTCTGCGGGTCAAAGTCAATGACCGGGGCTTTTTTTCTTCAGGCCTAGCGGCCTAGCGCTTGGTTTAGGGGTGACTGGTGCCACTATCAGAAGTTTCACCTGTGCGGAGTCTGGTTCTTCGCGCCATGGGGAGTGTGGCCGAGGTCATCACCTCTGAAGGTATGAAGTAGATGCGACACAGTGCTTTCGAATGGCAGCAATGGGCGCATTTTCCACATGACAACTGACATAGGTGTGTCCTGAAATATGAGATTTTCTTAAAGCCTTGAACCGACAATCTCCATCGAATTGATCTGAGCTCTTGGGATGTCCACGGACCACGTTAAGTCAAGGTTACAAAAGGTTGAACTTTAGTTTCCCGGCCGGCAAGTCTGCGCACCTCGATTGCTGTTTTTTCAAAGAGGGGATCAGTTTTTGGGGCATACTATTTTCTCCCTATCGATTTCCCAAGCTCTTTGGCGCTAGGCGCCTGCGGCGCCCGTGGCGCCCACGGCGCCTGCGACGCCCGCCTCAAAGCCGGCCGCTTCGGCGGCCAAGCAGGCGCCGCCAATTGCGCAGAGGGCCCAAGCGGCGAAAGCGCAGGCGGGCGGCAAAGTGAATATTTGGGATAGTGGCAGGGAGTTGCCCAGTGGGATGATTTAAGATGTGTGATTTGCGTGCTTCACCTCGAAGCAAGTGTTTGAACGTGGCGACTCAATGGAGCCGGACCTATCTGTTTTCACACCGCTCATTTGCTGCTGGCTCAAAGGCCTTTAGCCAAAATGCCGAATGTAGATGCATTCTCAACTGTTGCGCGGACCTGAAACTGGTGAGTCCGAGCATCGGACCTTCTGACTTCGTCGTCACTGCCTCGAAGTTGCCCTTGGAGTCGCTACCAACCAGGCCCGTTGACCTATTTCATAATGTGGTTTGCAATCTGCGACGAGCTGAGAGCATCGACTTCAAGGCTCGCGTCCGCTGACTTGCCCATGATGACATTTTTCTGGGTGAAGAAGTGAACCACGTACAAGAAATAGCGCCCCTTGTGGCTGTTCATAGTTGCACAATCAGCAGTGCTCGTCGTTGTGATCAATGGTGGCTCCAACACCCGTAGAGCCCAAGCCCACACAGTTCCATGCCGGACAAGGCGGCATTTGCTGGGCGAACCATGTCTGGTGAATTTCCTCAGGGTCTGGAATCTGGAAAGGCAAAAAGCATGAAAAAGCTTCGAGGTTTCCCACTCACAGACGAAGTGGTCGTTCGTAGATCATTTTTGCGACCAATTGTTGCACACTAGTCTCTGGGCCTGCTGAACATGTGACTCCAGCGACCATGCAGGTCTCAGGGACAGAGCTTGTTGAGAGCTGATGTCCATCTGCAAGGCCCCGGTCTTTCCTCGTGGCAGCAGATGCTGTCTGTTCTTGACTCCAACTCAGTCATTCTTGAAAAGGGTGATCACCATCGGCGTCGTGAGGTCGTTCAGGATCTGCGGGTTCTTGGTTATCCTCGCATTGCTTCCACCTCATATTTCGGGGACTGATGCCAGTTGCCACCATCAACGATGGCACATCATTCGCTGGTGGCTGTGGCGCGCAAAGGACATGCGGAGCATGACTGATGGACTGGTAATCAAGCGAGCCACCTTGAGTGGCTCCCAGGACATCACGCCATTCCTCAGATCTCAGATGTGAGGCTGGCTGAAGCCTTGCGCAACATGAAGTTTCTGAAGAGGGCTTTGACTCTCAGCTCCTGCAGGATGTTCATGTCCGGCTTCGCTTCTGTTCATGGTAGCGCACAGCCTCTCGCACGAGGAAGCGCACATTTTGTTCACCGTTTGAAGGCGAAGTACTAGGCGAAGTACTGGCCTAGGATCGGCGCTGAGTTGGGAAGGAGTTTGCGAACAAGTGGAGACTGATAGTCCTTCAGTTTCCATATCATAGCCAAAAGCCGTGCGCTCCCTGACAACTTGGTGATAACACGCGAGGCCAAGTAGGAGTTGTTCTGCGAGATGATGTGCTTTGATGCGTGCTCTGTGCGATGATGTGTGTTCTGCGTGCTTCGCCGGCGAAGCAAGCGCTCGAACGACGCGGCGACCCAATGGCGCCCGACTCTCTCTGCCTTCACACGGCTGATTCGCCGGCTCGAGGCCTTGAGCCTTGATGCCACATGCGCACGTGTCTGCACGTGCAACCTCAGGTATTTGCAATATCCCAGACGGCCCTTTTCCTTTTTTGAGACGGAGGAAGCTGCGCTGTGTCACGGTGGCAGCGGGTAGTCTCGCTGTGGGGCCCTGCTACGTCTGGATGGCCTGTGACCTTTGCCTGCAAGAGCACGTAATTCGTCTTTGAGCCTCGAGCCAACCATCCGAACGATAGTTGTGCAGGGAGAGCTTCTTATGGCCACTCAATGTCTGCGACCTCCAATTTACCAGGGAATCCCGTAGTCACAGCCGGGTGAATTTTGGGCATCCCAAATGCTCGCGTTCCGTGAGCTGGTCCTGTACGCCTCAACCCGGAAACTGCGCTCTGGCCTATGAATTGTTGGGTAGCAAGGGAAACCACCGGCGCCGGATGTGCCAGGCTCCCAAAGTGTGGCGCCCAGACGTCCGATCGGAGAGTTCCCAGGTTCAGGGCTTTTGTGGGGCCGGAGTTCCTGGTATCCCAATTGTGGCAACACGCCCCTAGTGAGTTTCACGCTCTATTTTCTTGTTTGCGATTGAAATGGAACTATACTCAACACTCTTTTCAGGCTTGCAAGCAGGGCCTGCTAGGGCGTTAGTTATGTCAGCTCGATTCATGAATCACCACCTACCAATTGCCCTTTTTAGCTGGTAGTGTAGCTGGGAAAATAACCCGGGCTTCAGGACAAGGCACCTTTGATAAAGTCGTTTCTCTCCTGCACAGACCACTCCTCGTGTTCTCTATGCTTGCTTGAGATTCAATGGTTGTCGTTAGTTATGTGCCACTGCGTTTGATCATCGGAATGTCAGGTCGGATACCGCAGGATATCGAAGTTAGCACGAAATCAGCCGGGGGTCTCATCAGCAATCTGGTAGGTCATCTATCAAACCCATCAAACATCACATTTCAGTCGATGAAGCAAACTCAATACCGCAAAGCAATCTTTGAAGCCATGCGATGTCGAATGCCGCAACCCGTGTGTTCCCTATCTGCTACAGTACACATTCTTCTGTGCAATTACAACAAACGGGAAATTCACAATATTTGATCACTGTTGTCAAAATTGTAAGACCAGTTCTGCTTTGCCCGTTCGGGACCGTTCCAAACCGTTCGAAACCCTTGCAGCCCAAAATGCGTTCAAAAAGGGCGTTCACAAAGAGTTTGCAAGTCGTTCTACAGCGTTCGGAACCGTACACAACCGTACAGTGGTGACAATTTGGTTGTTGGTGCTAGAAAACCCGAATGCGCGCGACAAAATTCCGAGCAAGACTTAATTTTGCTATGTGTTTGTTGCTAGTGCCGCCACAGGGCGCCTGGTCGTTTCGCGGCGTTTCAGCTGTTTTTTTTCTGTCGTTCCACGCCGCGGTGGGGGGTGGGGGGGGGGTGGGTGGGAAGGGGGTGGGGGGGGGGGGGTAATAAGCACACGCGTTCACTGCGCCGCATGAGAATAAATTCATGCATCTCAGCCTCACGTCGGCTCTTTTCATCGTGTTGAGCACACGCGTTCACTGCGCCGCATGAGAATCAATTCATGCATCTCAGCCTCATGCCGGCTTTTTTTTGCGTGTTGTCAAAGAGGCTTCCGGTTGCATCGCGGGCTCTCAGGGAGTGTTCAGCAATGTAGAATCGTTGCGCGGTGTCTCTTTGCTTGTCTTTGGTGTTGCTTTTGCGCATTGCTACAGTACCGCCGCCGAGCCGCTCACCGGCTCTATTGTCTGCTTGGCGCGCGTACCCTTTCTTCCTTGATCAGCACATTGATGTCGATCTTTGCTGCTGTTTCGGTGTCAGATCCAGTTTTGGATTTTGTGATTGCTGCTTCTGCGATGCCTGACCGTTATCCCATTGACTTTTGTGCGCTGTGTGATGATCAGCACGTTCTGTGGTCTTCGTGGGTCTCTCATGTCTCGCGTTCTAGCTGCAAAAAAGGGCCCCAGACGTGGTGTGATCTGATTTGCTCAATGTTTGCAGCCCTAATGGAGATGATGTCAACTGAAGGGGTTTTGCTCGGGGAAAAAACAACATTAGTTTGGAAATTCTAAAACAACAGTTTTTCATTGAGAAAAGCTGAAATCATTGGCAGGCGCATTGAAATCAAGAAGGGTGAAGCTTGAAAATCACCAGGCGTCTCATGGCGTGATGACCTATTTGTTTGGTGTTACAACTGTCAGTGTTGTTGTCCAAAGCTAGCCCTTTGATTGTTGTGATCGCAATGTTGGTCCATGATACTCTTTGCTGCTATTTTGCTGGCGCCTTAACCTTCAACTATTTGCGGAAGCTGTGTGTTCCCCCAGTAGCCAACAACAGTTAAGCTTTGTCCAGGGGCAACAGCCACCAAGTACTGGTCATTTGGAAGTCGAGTTTGTCGCGTGATCAAGGTGGATGCCGGCCGGGGGCCTTTGAAACGAGAGTTGACTGGAGACAGCGCCACGTCGCATGTTTCCAAAGGCACGGTCAAAATCAAATTTCGCCTTCTCATGAAATTTGAAACCAAGCATATATCCTGAATGCATGTTGGACCATTGGTAGAACAAGTAGGAGCAGAGCAGTCACGCAACCGACCAGCTGTTACACTGTTACAACTGCTTCGCCGCGTTACAGCTTGCGTTTGCTGAGCCACGCGTGTGTCGCACGTTTAGAATCGCCTGGTTGATAGGAGATCCCGTTACCTAATGGGCAGCCTTTCCATTTTCGGGTGGTTTTTGGCCACGGCGGTTGTCATAGGGCCGGAAAAGTTGGGTTTGGGGCCATTTCTGTGACACTTGAGACTTTAAAGTGATGTATTATCAACCTCAGTTGTTCAAAGCCGGACTGTTGACCTTTCGGTTTTCCTTTTTTGGTCAATTTTTAGTAGAGGCCCCAAAAGGTTAGCCTTGTATTTCCAGGTTCTTTGGGCAAGTGAGCAACCACTTGGTATAGACGGGTTATAATCGACCAACCGACCTCTGGGATCGTGAGTAACGTGGTTGCGTGGGTGCAGGATTTCGTCCATGCACAGCTATTAGCGGAATCTCGCAGGTTTTGCCTGACATAGCTGTGTAGGGCCTTCAACTTGTTCAAGAGGATTGCAGGGTACTTTGAAACCAAATCACATGATGGGACGAACGTGGTTGCGTGGTTTTGCCCCTTGTCTGGCAATGTCCAAACTGCGGGACCCACTTTGGCCTTTCAATCCAGAAGCAAACCAGGTTGCCTTGTCGTTTTTGGGACGCCCGCATGTCTCTCTCGAGATCTGCAGCCTGACAAGTGTATCTCGATGGCCTTAGGTACATCCGTTCAACAGTTGCTCGCACTCTCATGAAGGTTCCGTTCTTGGATTCTGTGTCTTTCGTTGAGGTTCTCCACTTTCAGTTTGCCCATGGATTCAGCCAGCTTGAGTGTCAAGCGGCCAGGTTTCCCGAGCCAGCAGGGAACTAAAGGGACCCGACGGCAATGAACAGTTTCACAAAGAAGCCGACCTGAAATAAACAACTTCATTGAATGGGATTCCTGGTTTTAACAGGTTCGCCTAGGCAAGCGATGGGATTTTAATCCAAGTCCGCCAGATGGGGGGCGCAGCTTGGATATGGGTGTAGCTTCAGATAGGGCCCCCCTAAATTTGGTTGACTTGCATCCTACGTGTCATCATCCAGGAAAGAGGGTCCACTATTTCAGACCGCCCCAGATATCAGTGTGGAGCTTTAGCAACACCCTTTGATACTTGGGGGGGTTCGCTCGATTCCCAAAAAAAACACCAAAAAAGAAGCACAAGAAACAACAAACAGTAATCGGGCATTTGCAACCAACGTATCAGACCAGTGTTTCCATTACGGAATCTTCGGCTTGAGTAGACTTCGCCAATTGATAGACAGCCCCACAGACACGTTGGCTGAGCCAAAGACTCAGTGATAGGTCGGTAGATATGAAGGTAGAGAGGTCGATTGAATATATAGGTTGATTCAAATGTAGACCGATGCTGTTTCATGGAAGACTAGAAAACTAATCGTGCATGCATCCATGACATATGTGTAAGTACCAAACTAACGCAACACAACAACCAACTAGTTGGTAGGTAGATATAGCTTGCCTGTTGAGTTGGAATATGTTGAACTTTGTGCTAGTGTTTTCCTCCTGATTGAACATACACACTGCTTTCAAGTGCAGTTTGGCGAATCGTCTCAGCGAGTATAGACAGATCTGCTGCAAGCTCTGGGTAGCCTTTTCCATCCCTTGTGTTTGGCGCATGTGGCAAGTCAGTTTTAAGAGACCCGAATCAACGCGACTTCTCGTGCACAGCCAGTTTGGTGTTTCTTTTCTTCGGGGGGGGAGGGTGCGCAGAGCACGTTTTCTTCCGATTTGAGGCCGCAGTCTTTGGGGGGTTCGAACGGCACTTTGGGCCCGTGCCCGCGGTTTTGCTCAGCTTTGGCTCCGGCGATGCGGAGCGCGGCGTTGCAGCACTCGGGGGTGCGACATCGGGGTGGCCCTCGTTCGATGCGACGGGTTCGATGCGATGAATTGGAATTTGAAACCTTTCACCCTCCAAGTAGCTTCCTTTAGAGTCCCTAGGTTCATTTTTTACAACCCGTGATCCCCTACCAGGTCAGGTCTTGGGGAATTTTCTCTACAAGTACCTGGGAGCCTCGGGAGCGTGCCCGTGCACGGAAGCGCATTTCGGTTGGTCTTGGTAGCATTGGGGCGTTTGGTTTGTTGCGGGCACTGTGCCTGCTCTAAGGTCGGTTGAAAGGGACACCAAAAGGACAACTACCATTTTGGCGGTGCCCTTGTGTTGGCACTTGCCCATGAAGCTTTATGAATTTGTTTGATTTGTTTGAGCTGAACATCCTGCGTTTGCTTTCCAAAGCGTGCCACTGGACTGATCTGGCTGTGAGAGTTAGCTTGTAAATCAAGAAGGAGGGCCTGACAGGTTCTACGTGTGCCTTCCTTCCTCGCCTTCGTTGGTCTTGAGCAGCTCGCCCATTGGATTTTTCACGGTAGCAGTTGACGGCCGAGTAAACGACTTGCTCAAGCCCTGATCCAGGTGCTGGTTTCAGATAGCCCGTGAGAATCAATAAAAGGTCCGGGGGACACCAGTTGAATCAGTAGATGTTTGTTGATTCAGTATGGTGGGTTCTCCAATATACTTCCATTCGCTTAAGATTTAGTTTTATTTATTTCCCCTGTTGGTTTAAAGG